CCTCTTCACACAACGTTGAAACAATCCAGATTGATTCATAACATTAAATTGGGTAATAGTAACAACCCCTGGATGTTGGGCTAAGGTAACACCCCCAGGATGTACTTGAAAACCAGAGTGATCTGAATGTACCTTTCCTGGTTAAATACATTTTCAATGCTTTTGCTATTTTTTCAAAGCCACTTCCTATTTTGTGAAGCTCAACAATCTTTTGCCGCACATCATAGCTATTTTCTTTGGCCTTACCTACTGTGATGAATGATTAGGCAATTTGGCCTATGTGTAACCTCACATCTATACCCCTGTGAAAACAGGAACTAATGGTTGAACAATTTCTTGTTCCTCATCTCCTAGGTGTACTAAAAATGTAAAATAGCAATTGCAATATACTTCAAATTTATTTTTCTCATATGAATTTAGAAGGGTGACAATAATTGTACCAACACATTTTAATAAAGATTTCTGTTTTAATACACACATGTTGTGTTTGCACTCATGGATATTAACCTCTCGATCCCACGCCGTCGATCGATATGGGGGGACTTACCTGGCATCCCAGAGAGTCCCTCTGCTGCTGATCCGGCCCACCTGGGCCGTGTGATCGCGAGGACTTCATGATCACATGGACGGAATAGCCGTCCATAGCTGTGCCAGCAGGGGGAGTACCTGAAATGACAGGTAGTCGCCCTGCTGTCTGAAATAAATTAAAATAAAGTTAAATAATATATACTTACACACACACATATATATATATATATATATATAAATGTATAAATATGTAAAATGTTTTAAATAAAAACAAAATAAATATATGTGTAATTTCGTTCCAACTGTATTTTGATATTAATATATATGTTACCGCTAAAGTGAGAAATCTGTTAATGTGCACATTACCAAGCTAATCTGCAGATTAACTGATTTGCTCCGTTAATGTGCGGAATCAAGAGTTTTCCGCACTTTAACGATACAGAAGCCGTTAATGTGCACATTAATAAGGTAAAGTGCAAAAGTTGTTTGTTTCTCTCATCATTTTTGGTTTAACTGAGAGAAATAGGCGAAACCAAAATGAGAGAAAAGTTTCATGCAGCAACAAAATCACAAATTGTCCGGATTGACTATAAAAGGAGCAGATTCCTTGCCAACGCTCCTGCATCTGGTGAGACAGTCCCAAAACAGTTCTTCTATCTTTCTCCATCTTCACCCCCTATGTCACAATTCACCAGAGAAATATCCCTACAGAGCAATGGAGGGTATTACAGCCCATGTGAGCAATGCTCTCATCTCTCCCAATTTTAGACATTGCAATGTCCATAATAATGCAGTCATTTGAAGCTACTCAAGACCAGATTTATATTTGTTTTATATCAGAACATCTTCAGGCAGCGAATCCTCCCTTATCTTTTATTCTCCTTATTGTAAGTAACGCTTTCCTGTGCAAAGTTCGATGTTAATCCTATTAACTCAGGTAGCTATCCACCCCATTAAATTACTGTCATTTCTTCTTAGATATCAACAAATAAATAAATAACTGGATTCATGATTGTATTCACTTGATTTTTGCACTTTAACGAGTGCCTAGTAGGTAATGTGCAGATTACCTAGGTAATGTGAGAAATATATGAGAAATTAAGCCATTTTTGGCACTTTAACTGATTACCCTAGTTAATGTACACATTACCTAGATAATCTGCAGAATAACTGATTTCTGCACTTTAACGGTAACATATATATTGATAATAAGTGTGGGTGCACTTAATATGAAAGAGGTGAATTACGGTTGAACAGACATATAGTCGAATTCCAAGTTTTATTTACGTTTTATTTTGACAAAACGTAAATTTGGCTTAATCCTCAAGGGGTTAAACAATTGCAGCATATTTTGGTTGTGTTTTTTTTTTTTTTTCAAACAAAAACCCCCCACCATTTTTCACAGACATCTTTGTACATAGTTACCAAGGGTGCCAATATTAGTGGAGGGCACTGTATATCACATTAACTTACACATTTCCCCTACTACCGCTTGTCTCCAATCCCCATTAGAGTGTAAGCTCACGGGTCATCTAGCTAAGCACTTTGTATAAAGGGCTCTCTACCTCTTGTATTTGTCTGTGTATATTATATGTTCTCCACTAATTGTACAGCGCTGCAGAATCTGTTGGCGCTTTAAAAATACCAGTAGTAAATAAATAATAAACTTACGTGTTTACATATTACAAACATTGTGGAAAGGAGAGCCATTAAAATAGTGTTTTAATCATATACTAATCACTTGGCTTATTAAAAAAAAAAAGTTTTAAAAAACATGCAATAATCCACTCACTTATACATAAAGTCAACATTATTCTAAACTTCTCCTTTGCATACTGACTTTATGTAAATGCAAAAGTTTTTTTCAAACAATTATCCTTGCTTATTTTAATGAGCATATCAAAATGCCTCAGTCTTCTTAATTGGGCACATTTTCAGATGGAGATATAAAGAAAAATATGCTATTTGAAAAACTGAGTTTTCTTTAGTAGTATATGAGGGGGAAAAAAGTTACAATAAAAAAATAAATACTCTCTCTCCAGCATGCCAATAGAGTTCTATCAAATAATCAAACTCTCCTTGCCCACGTCATGGCTTGCACTCACTGCCTATAAAATTCAGAAGTTGTTGGTATTTTCAGCAGCTATAGGTCCATTTTATTCTTCTTTCCTAATCATTTGTTTATTAACCAACTTGAAATTAATTTAGTTATCAAATATTTTACCAGGAAAGATACATTGAGATTTCTCTTGTGGGTCCACAAAACATTGCATTGATACATTAGGGTACAATAAAATACACATACAATATTTCAGAGTAGACTTGTGCACAAATCCAGTTCTGCTGTGCTGAACGAATCAAATGCCCGTCAATCACTGGTCGAAACACAAACAAATTATTACTGTATTTTTCCATTTATAAGACTTTTTTTCCCAATATTTTTTGTCTAAAATTTGGGGTCGTCTTATACACGGAATGTCACTGCAGGAGTTAAAAACAAAACAAAACTTGTGCGCGGGCCTTAGTTAAGATGGCGCCTGCCACATTTCAGTGTGCCACGACCCACACACATACCTGGCCTCCTGCTGATTCACTTCTGAACGCTGTGGCAAGGAGGAAGAGGTCCCTATATGCATGGGAGTTGTTGCAGACATCAGCACTTAACACCAAAAGAGCTCCAGAGACATGCCACACCATAAAAGGAGCAGCTATATTAAGGCATGCTCCAGCTTAGGTAGTGTCTTGCTCTCTGATATATATTTATGGGGGAGGAAATGCTCCCCCCCCCCATATTTCATGTTCACCACCACCACCACTTTTGACTCACTGAGAGGAAGGGGGGTGAAATCTTTATAATGGAATCAATAGTAGTACTAGTGAGTCCATGATAAAAATGTCACCCCTCCCTCCTTCCATGCACTTACCTGGTAATGGGAGCTCCTCTCTTTTTCCTCCTGTGTGTCCGTCTGCAAAGAGCACTGGGAGGAACTGACGCCACATTTACATTGTCCCGGAATGAAGGTGCCCAGGACCCGGGACAGACCCACAAAATGCGGGACTGTCCCGGGCGATCCAGGACACGTGGGCACCCTAGTGATGTCCCAGCATGCCCTCACACCACCTGCTGTATTGTGGGAGCTGTAGTCTCCCAGCATGCACAATAGAGCCATTAAAGGGACACTATAGTCACCCAGACCACTTCAACTGGTAAGAGAGGCTACAGGGTGTATTTATTATCAATTTGGTTTGTACTGCATAATTCTTTGGTGTTTAGTGCATAAACCCAGAAAGAGCTAAAAGTCTGACAAAGTAGATATCAGTGAAAGAAGAGCTTCTGGTGAAAATAGAGGTGTCAGAAATCCAAAGTGCATTATAAAGGAAAATAAGGTGTGAGAAGATACAATGTAGTAACGTGTTTGTACAGAGAAGATGTTCAATTAATTGTGATGTGATTTGAAATTGCCTGCAAATCAGTGAACAATGTGGCCCTACAGAACCTGCTTATCTCTGTGTGTCCGTATACAGATAACTTAGAGAGAGAACAGTTGGTGTCATACCTCCCAACACCAGCATCCTAAAGGGGGAGGAAGCAATGCCAGTAATACAATTCTGTCGCTGGCTCCACCCAAAGACGCAGTCTGCCCATGTTTCTAGCAGACCAGCCTGGTATAAACTGGGCCGGTGCAAGTATTTTTGCCTACACAGGCAAAGATGCATTTTACCTCCCCTCCCTGTTTCTCCTCCCCCAAAATGCATCTTTACCAGTGTGTTCCATGTCCCCTTTAGTACATGTTATCCCCCTTTTGTCTTCCACTCCCTTTAAAAATATCTTATCCCCTATTTTTTCCCTTTGTGTGTCTCTTACATCCCGTATGTCTTTTTATCCCCCAGCCCCTAGAGTGCATCTCCCTCCCCTCCCAGCCAGTGTCTGTCGTCCTCCCAGTCCATCTGTGTCTTTGTTCCCCCCAGCCCCTTGTCTCTTTCTCCCCTCAGCTCCGGTCTGTCTCTTTTGCCCCTTCCACAGCCGCTCTGTGTATCTTTGTGCCCAAAGCCCCTTGTCTCCTTCTCTCCCTCAGCTCATGTCCGTCTTTTTCCTCCCTTTCACAGCCCCTTTTTTGTGTCTTTGACCCCCAGCCCCTTGTCTCTTTTGCCCCATCCCCTCTGTGTCTCTTTGTGTGTTGCCAAGCTCCTCTGGGTGTCTATTCCCCCCAAAACCCTGTGTCTCATTTGCCCTTCCCCCTCCTCTCCTTTGGGGATTGGCACCCAGTGGATTCCAGGTCAGAAGTCAAAAACAATTTGACTACTTAAAATGGGGGAGGGCAGAGCACTCCATAACTTCTACAGTGATATATAGTGGTTATGGTACTTGGAGTGTTCCTGTAACACTAAAGCATTTGAAGTTGTCATAGTACATTTCCATAACATAAAACATAAGTGTAACAAACATGAATTAAATAAGTACAACTCAAGTATTTAGTGGATACAAAACAATAATTTATTTGTCTCTGATTGCCACGGTTGTAACCATTTGTGATTTTATGATAGCATTTTTTCTTTTATTATTATTATTTCCGTACAAACCTAGAAAGCAAACTGGAACAAGAAATAACTTGAAAAATGGCACAAAATGTTTCAAATTGTTTGTTTTTGTTTTTTGTGTGTGTGTTTTTTTTTTTTTTTTAACTTCTTTCTTTCATAAAGAAATTCCTTGTCTGTATCAAAAAGCCTGGGAGTGTGGCACAAGGATGCCACAAAAACATGCTTTCCAAACCTTATAAAGCTACACATTGAGTAATCATTTCTTTGATATAAAATCTGATTAAGAACTCTTAAAGAAATTATGAATTGGCCATAAGTGTAAAAGCTGCGCTCTTAAACAATATGACAAATCTTGTTATTGTAGATATTGATAAATAGAATGCAGATAATATAAAATAAAACAAATGCAAAGTAATATCACAAAATACAATTTTATAAAATATAAATCTATATTGGAAATTGCGTCTGTGTTTTCAGGCAAGAAAAGAAAGCTTGTGTTTAATATCTTTAATCAGTATTCATTAATTAAACGTGTGTAACTAAAAGGTTATTTGGCATTCGCATGATTAATAACAGTATGAAAATTTTAAAAAATGTTTTAAAAATTACAGTCATGTTTTAAAAACAATTTAAATTACAGAGCTCCTTGAGTAATGTGGCGGCTGAACTCCTCATTGCCAGAGGAACTGTAAAAGTGTTGCGCAGCAAACAGTTACATGTCCTTTTGGCAAACAATTAGGGTAACTAACACCCAGTACTGTGATAGGATGGGTTTTTGTTTTGTTTAAGACAAGGTATTAACAGTAACATTAATTATCTTATATTTACACAGAAAAAAAAAGTTGTTGTTTTTCTTAATAAACTTGCCACATTTAACGAGGCGGAAATTCTACCGCAACGGTAGTTTATTTACAGATTTTAGATTATGAAATTATACAGTTGTAACAGAAAGCAAGGAGTTGTACACCCGAGTTCCATCAGGAGATTTAGTTCCATGTGTTAAGAGTTCTTGAATGGTCATCCAGTTGTCAAAAATTTTTTTGTTCCTTTTTTTCATCATCTTTTTGTGACTGAGGTCAATGATGCTGACCTCTTTGGTATCTTCCGTGGTTTGCTTCTCCTTCAAACAATCCAACCTGCTTTGCATCATAAATTCCCTTCTCTTTCTTTGCTCAGAAGCTTTTCGAACATGCTGCTTACGTTCTTCCTTACTCCAGTAACGTCCCATTTTCATCTCGCTCATGGCATCATCATCGGTTGTCATTCCACTTCGCTCCTCCTTAATCTTTATGGCTCTCTCTCTCAACAGTTTGTCTCTTACAGGCCGCTTTGTAATATAGCGTGTGCCGTCACTTCTTACCTTCACCTTCCATTCCATCCTAGGTTCTGTAGTACTGGACAAGTCTTTACACATACTGACCAAACTCATTTGACTCTGAGCATATTCCACGGCTGATTTCTGCTGGATTAGTTGCATGTAGCTTTGATAGTGTTGGGCATGTGCAGGGATGTGTGCATGCTTATACGGAGAGTGGCGATACGGTGGCTGCACGGAACTGGATACTTTTTCTGGATTGGTTTGATTTTTGCTCACATCTCCACCTTTTCTTTCTCGGACATCTGTTTGTTTGTTGATGTCAAAATCCTTGGCTGGGAGATGGTATGTGACAGGACTGGCTTCACGACTACCGCCACTTGACAGCAAACTCTTTTGGGAAGCATTGCAAGGTAAGCTGCCAACGGCTCCTTCCGCATTTGGGCAGTTGAGGGCGTCTGCACTCCTTCGCAGTGAGTTTTCAGGTGAGATTTCCAAAGTCAGTGGGGTGCTGCGACAACTTTCCCCAGTATTATAGGCACTTGAACTATCCTTGTCAGACTTCTCTGGCAATTCTGTAATATCCGAAAGTTCATGTCGACGCAAGTCAATGCTTGTATTGTAGTTACGGAAGCCACTATTGTGAAGCATCCATGAATCTCTGTACTGTTCTTTTAGTTGTTGCATTTTATGAGCACGGACTATATTCAAACACTCAAGCTCAATGCTGTGCAGCTCTTCATTCAGCATCTCTAACTCCCTGTCTACACTTTCCTGGTCACTTCTATTGGTTTCCAAAGTACTATTTTGGTAATATCGGCGCTGGTTAGAACTTTGCACTTGGCATTTTAATTCCAAAAGCTCCCTAAATCTCTCACATTCATCCATGGGGATACCCAGAAAATCTGCATCGGTACAATCTGCTGAAATGAATGACTCATTGCTGAACTGCATGTCTCCACTCCCCAAAGTGTCCTGACTGTACATTAGTTTTTTCTGACTTCCCAGTGTATTTGAGGAAGTGGTGTGATCGTCTGTAATATTTTCGTGCTCTGAGCTCTCATCATTACGAGTGCTCCCATCAGTGCGGCCAACTCCACTATCTTTCTCCAACTGGTTGGACAACAGGGTTGCCGTATCTGTAGTTCCTCCATCTTCCTCCAGTTTTTTCTAAAAGGAAAGAAATATTGTGAGCAAGTTAAGTTAAATGCTAGAGGTTATGCAAACATAACATGGTGCAACATTGGATTTATGTATTTTACTAGCTATCTGATTACATATTAATGCAGATTTAATGCATGATGTTAATTGCTCCATATCTTTCTTGTTGAGAAGGACAGTAGTGCATTTAACATGGTATTTGATAGTTGAACTACTGTCTGTCACTGGTCAGATTCCATTCCAACTGAATATAACAGCTTGCTAGAACCTTTTAATATATAATAATGAAAATATAATACAAATTTCTGTACATTTTTCTTTTCTTTTTTATTTTTAAGTCTGCAAACCAGTTTTCGATATTACGCCAATTATAACATACTGCTGTGGTAGGAGTGAAGCCAAAGGTAGAAGAACATATCTGAAACTCTTGCTCGCAATCTCAACCATCTTTCCTCTGCTCATCTGCCAGGAGCCCGTATAACTGCTTACTCTTGTACATGTTCAAGATTACAGCACAGAGATCTATAGACCCAATGTTGGGGCAGGCACTGCCTAGTTTATCACCTCATAGAGAGATGAAGGGCCATAAGGCCACAGACCTGCTCATTTATTAAAATGGGTATATGTGTCAAAAATTGAAATACTAAATGTTTGTGTGGTCATTTTCAAGTTTACAGCACACAGCTTTGTGTTATAAAGTGCACTTTGTCTATTATATATTTTCTATAAGAGTTTGTTTCTGCTTTATTAGGGGGTGGCGGGGGGGGGAAGCCCTGATTAGTCGAGAGACTGATCTCCGGTCTACCAGGCAGGCTGTATGTGTACAAATACGAAATGTGTGTTCTATCATATATGACATTATCATTGTGGAAAAGCTTTGGTAGGTCCAGCGACCAATACTTTATTTTTCATTTGGATACCTAAAACTGAGAAGAAACATGCTGCGTCTATGCAGAAAAATATATCCAGTAGTCCTCCAATGACTGAAACTACAACCTCCATTTTACTTTAGCCTGTGAAATCTTGCAAAGCATTGCTGGAGTTGAGTTCAACAGTCGTTAAATATTCTTCAAAAATATCAGTTATTTTCTCGCTTTAGTAAGTTAAACTGTGGCGAAGATCCCCATGTATCCTATCACACAAACACTTAAAGGTCAGACACTTTCCTTCAAACTGGCACATCAAAACATTTGCCAAAAATAATTTTACCTGACGTGAAAATTTTCTACTGAGGGCTTTACAAGAGTCAAGTAGAATATTCTTGGGGATATGGGAATTGTGTAAGGAAAAGGAAGGAAATTGAATATTTTAGGCCAAACATATTGGGGGAGAAAAGCTGTCATTTTAGTTATATTTTATGGTTTGTTTGTTTTTTTATATCAATGAGTGATTTAACTTAAATAATGGGATGTTTTGATTACATTTTTTATTTTTTTCCCTGAAGTCTTTAATGACAAACTTTGACAAATACCTCCTGCTATCCATAACCTTATATATTCATTAAACTGGCTGGTAAGTTTAATCCTTGTAATGGAAACTGGGGAAACAGAATATCAGATCTGACAAGCTACGTTGACAGAGTAGTAGGGGAGAATCACATTACCTGCTGAAGCATGCTGGCAGTAAATTGCATTGCTTGGTGATGCTGTTCTTCTAACATATCTATGTGTAAATCATCCAGAAAATCATTTCTGTCATCATCCATCCATCCTTCATCCAGCTGTGTTTAAGAGAACAAAACAAAGATGACATAAATGTGTTGTCACGGTAACACAAATTCTGACAGCAAGATGTAATTCAGAGCATCTGATTACAAATGTAAATACAAATTAGAATATTAAAACAGAACACATTTTTTTTTTTATGTACATTTTAATAAACAAAAAAACAAGTCAAATGGTAACCTGACAAGTTTACTATTTTCCCAAACTGAGCTTTTATATTATCTGCAAATTAGGAGAATATCAAAATACAGTTTGTTTTTGTAAATATAGGGAGTATGGTGCATACAAGAGCCTGACTTAAAGGAACATTATAGTCACCAGAACAACTACAGATTAATGTATTTGTTCTGGTGAGTATAATCATTGCCTTCAGGCATTTTCGTGCAAACACTGCCTTTTCAGAGAAAAGGCAGTTTTTACATGTCCCCTAGGGACACCTCCAGAGGCCACTCCTCAGATGGCCAATGGAGGTGCTTCCTGGGGCAGTGCTCTGCATGGTGGCGTTGATCTTTCCTCATAGCGATGCATTCATTCAATGCATCTTTATGAGGAGGTGCTGATTGGCCAAAACAGAGTTTGGTCCTGCCCCATTCAATCTCCTTGCAGATTTCAGCCAATTCAATGCTTTCCCATACGGATTGGCTAAAAGTCATAAATTTTGATGTCACAAAGAGTTGGGGCGGGAACAGCATCGGCAGACCCATGCTGCGCTGGAAATAAAGTGAATTTTATCCCCTTCTACAAGGCTAAAGGGGGGAGGAACGGCAAGCCACCTAAATGGTGGTGGTAACACTATAGGGTCAGGAACACAAACATGTGTAGTGTTACTTTAATTTCAAGAAGTGTGCAGTCAAACTTTAGGCTGCTGAAGATGATACAGTGTGGCTTCATGAAATAAAACATTGCTATTAAATCATTTATTTCAGTGACGGTAGCTAAAAGTGACAGAAAGCTACTTCATACAGATGTGTCTATATGCACTTACACAAACATCACCTTCAGTATTACTGTATTCTATTTGAGATAAATGAACAACTCATGAAGGAAAAATATGCAATTCGAGCAATCCCAATAGTTCTCTAGCTATATTTGATCAGTAATACCTTACATTTGTCCCATGGGCCTGAGTTATTCCGACACCCTTCCATGACTTTTGGTTTTAAAATGTGCCATATTGTGTCAAAATTAGCACAACTGCTGTACACTAATGCGTGTTCAAGAGTACAGCACTAAGATCTATGGAGGCTCCAGAGTGTGGATACCCCAGTGATAGCTGTAGGAATTAATGATGGTGGCAGCACTATCTTTTGTAAATCAGGACTTAAGGACAAAGTAGTAATTTTTTAATTTTTTTTTTAGTTTTGGAATCTAATGAAATTCCAAGTTTTTTGTTGTTTTTTTTGTGGTATAATTTATAATACAGTGGTAAAGTGTTAATATGGTGTTTTGTTTTTTTTAGAGAAAGTGGATAACTAATAAATTACTCAATAAAAATCAATATATCTTTTTCACAATGAGACACGAGTTCCACATTAGGGGAAGAAATATAGGATTGTATTAGAAAGTCTATGTCAAGCAGTTAGGTACAATACCTGCATCTCTGGCCTTGCTACCAACAAGAAAACATCTTTCGTATCCTCACTTGTCAGGAGGGCTACGGCCTCTTCGTGGTTGTGAACATCAATGCCATTAATCTGTAAGACAAAACCAAACTTCAGATGGTCAGGAAGTAGATTATCTTGTTCACCATCTTGGGCTAATAGGAGTTAGCAAGCGAAAACCTTTTTTAAATCCATTAAAATTGAATTTTCTTTAGAAAATAAAGTATTTCATTTGATCAATGAGGAGTTAGCCCAAACAAAGATTTGCATTAATAAAAAAACAAAAAAAACAACACTAGAGATTATCAAAGTCTTGTGCTCTGAAAAGTGGGTATGCAAAATGATGTATTTGCTGGTTTCCATGGGGATTGTCCCACTTTTAGAACTTTACACAATGTTTCAGAATACAGCACTTTGCATATCTTCCGCTTATATGTTACATCAATGTATTCTTTAAGGTGATCTTGGAAGAGATATAAAACATGCTACATGGATAGAAAGTTAACAGCCAACCAGCAATGTGGGCAGGGGGACAAGGCAGGTCAAGTGCATGCTGGGAATATGGTTTCCCAACAAAAATAATTACAAAATTGTGTAATCATAAAACATGCTAAACATATAAACATATTTATACTCTAGAATTCCACCACTAAAGAATTACATGATTCATTAGTGACAGGAAAGTGTGTACTTGTTTAGTAATTGAATCAGAATTTTGTGTATTATGTGACTTAAAGCACAGGCAATTGATTTTTTCTTCTGCTATTTATTGAAAATAAAAAGTGCCCACTAAAAGTAAGCTACACAACATTATATCTTACTTGTATAATCCGATCACCTTCCCTGATTCGTCCATCTTTGGCTGCAATACTATTTGGATCAATCTGAAAAACAATAAGATACATTTAATAACCAGATTCCTTCACACAAACTCTCTTTGACCTGGCTTAATTGTGGTTTCCTGTTTAGAACTTTACTGGCAGAGGATATTCACTCAGTTAACATATTTAGGTGTCTACTTAACAATTAACTTGATTGCTGAGTACTCAGCAGAAGCACCCATTCTACACATATGTGTTTGGTATTCTCCTAGTGGGCATCAAACTTCGGCTGAATGGGTGGGCCTAGGATACCCAGTAAAAATGTGACATCAGTACGGACTTTGGCTTTTATCCAGTGTGGCTAAGAAGCCTAACCTTATGTTTGAAAGCATTCTGAGCATCTAGAAAAGAGAGCAACTAATGTTGAAACTGGGAAATATGCATTTCGACTCTAGAGATCTGTCTGTTCAACTAAGCAGGTATCCTTGGAGTATTTCTCTTAAAGGGACACTAGTCACCTGAACAACTTTAGCTTAATGAAGCAGTTTTGGTGTATAGAACATGTCCCTGCAGCCTCACTGCTCAATCCTCTGCCATTTAGGAGTTAAATCCCTTTGTTTATGAACCCTAGTCACACCTCCCTGCATGTGACTTGCACAGCCTTCCATAAACACTTCCTGTAAAGAGAGCCCTATTTAGGCTTTCTTTATTGCAAGTTCTGTTTAATTAAGATTTTCTTATCCCCTGCTATGTTAATAGCTTGCTAGACCCTGCAAGAGCCTCCTGTATGTGATTAAAGTTCAATTTAGAGATTGAGATACAATTATTTAAGGTAAATTACATCTGTTTGAAAGTGAAACCAGTTTTTTTTTTCCATGCAGGCTCTGTCAATGATAGCCATGGGGGTGTGGCTAGGGCTGCATAAACAGAAACAAAGTGATTTAACTCCTAAATGACAGTGAATTGAGCAGTGAAATTGCAGGGGAATGATCTATACATGAAAACTGCTTTATTTAGCTAAAGTAATTTAGGTGACTATAGTGTTCCTTTAAATTATCATTTGAGTATCACTGCGAAACATGTCACCACAAGTCACAATAAATAGGACTAAACTATATTTTTCATTATACTAAAAACATACAGCTCAGAAAAAAAAAAAGAGATACATATCTCATTAAAAAGACACTGTAGGCACCCAGACCATTTCAGCCCATTGAAGTGGTCTGGGTGCCAACTCCCATCACCCTTAACCCTGAGCATGTAATTCTTGCAGTTTTTATAAATAGCAATAATTACCTTGCAGGGTTAAGTCCTCCTCTAGTGGCTGTCTACAAGAACTTTTGGTCATCTAAACGACGCTGGAAGTTCTCACGCTATGCATTAGGACTTGACTTCCAGTGTTGCCTCTAGAAAAATGCTTTCCTATGGGGAGATCCTAATGCGAGCGCGGCCATTGCCAATTAGATCGCATTAGGTCTCCCCCTCCCGCAAGGAACATGGGCAGAGCTGAGCCAGAGCTGAGGGACATCGGCGCTGGAACCAAGTAAGTGACAGAAGGTGTTATGAACCCCTTCAGTACCGCGGGGGTGGGCCTTGACAGAAGGGGACACTACAGTGCCTGGAAAACAACTGTTTTCCTTGCACTATAGTTTTTTTTTTTACTTAGAATGAAGGGTGCTTGTGTTTGAATTCAACAGACAGTGGAACTGAATGACTGCCATATATCATGGAGATGTTGATCTAAAGAAACACTATAGAGTTGGGAATACTAATCTGTATTCCTAACACTATTGTGTTCCTGTCCCTAGCTCTATTCACCTTTTCACAGTACCGAGGCTCTCTCTACGCTGTTCACCTCTCCTCCCCTGCCTCCTCTGAGACAGTCCAATCCAATGCTCCTCACAGAGGAGCCTTGGGGACCTAATGTGCATGTGCGGCTAGTACTGCCCACACATTCAAACTTTCCAACAGGAAAGCGCTGAATCAGTTTTACTCAGTATGACAGCCACTAGAGGCACTTCTGCTGCACTGACAAAAAGCCACTAGAGGTAGACTTAACCCAGTAAGGTTTTACATGCCTCTGCAGTGTCACTGCTCAATTCTGTGCCATTTGAGAGTTAAATTACGTTTGTTTCTGTTAATGCAAGCCACATTTCCCCTGGCTGTGACTCACACAGTCAACATGAAAAAAATGGTTTCATTTTCAATAAGAAAAGTGTTTACTTTAGATGGTTTTGACTAACAATGCTGAGGATCATACATTTGAGATTTAGCATCATTTTTATGATAATATCAAGATAGTTTAAAAATTAGATCTACCTTTATAGGAAGTGTGTAGGGGAGCTGTTACTATGACTACATAAATAAAGTGAGTTAACTCCTAAACAGCAGATAACTGAAACTCTGCTATTCTGTAGCCATTAGACCTGTTTGAAAGCAGAGCATTTGTAAAAGTCCTTTCTCTTCATTCTTTTTACTTGAAACAATATTTGCATGTGACTTCCACAAACTGAAACATAATTTTACACTCTGATAGGATTTTGTAACTCTACATTCCCAAGAATACCAGAAGAGTCTTTGCACTACCCATGTGTAGTGTGCCTGATCACACTTGAAGAAATTAAGGAAACACTATAAACCTATTTAATTTGGTATTTCCTTTCCTTGGCAGCAAAAATAATAATTGAAACTGTAAATTAACATAAAACCTATACAAAAATGTTTTTAAATTAATAATTTTTTTTATCACCTCTTACCTCACTGACATAAATTCCGGTATCATCTTCATCATCTGTTCTGTAGCACACGGTCAATCCCAGCTTATCCTGGCTGTTTAGTCTGTACAGATCTATTTCCTGAATAAGGATATATAAAGAGCACTGTGTTGTCATTCTTTGAGATTACACAGGATACTATATTTTATTATGGAACTCTGGATACATCATATCGCTTACTTCCCCGTAAGGGGCAGGTTAACGTATTCATCGCTGAGTGATTTAACACCATAGGATCAATAAAGTATGTCAAAAGCCTCTTTGTCAGCAACAAGCCATTTGAAAAAAAAAAAAGTCATTTTATTGATTCAAAAGAAAACAAATTGGCTAGGTCTCTTACAATGCCATGGGTGTAAAAATAAACACACCATAAAAACATGGTTTATTTGTATTCCTGACAGAGATCAAGACTTTCTCTCTAATTAAAGCAATCAAACAATTCATATTTCATCCGCTGTACAATAGTTTTTCACTCGATTAGGAATTGTCTGCAATTAACGTAAGGGCCAGCAAATTTTAGATCAAAATAGTGGATTTGGATATATCGCTAACCTAGAGATTTTTTCAGGTTTGGCTTATTTGGGTCTTAATTTGCTGACTATTCCCAGTTGCCAATTTTGAGGACTAGTGGATAACATAAAAGCTTTAAAGTGTTTTCAGATATTCTCCAGCTAAAATACTACACACGGGAGTGACAAGCTGACTGTGACAATCGGTTCAGATGGAAATGAAGGAGCTAAATAGATCCTTCTTCGAAAGCGCTGACCTTACTCAGCAGGTTAGGTCCATGGTCCCAAAGGGCCAAAACATAATGCATTTAGGATTTCCTGTCAGCCAATTAAACTAGTGCCATTGACACAAACCTTTTGGTGGAATGCATGTCCGTTCTTCCTCCATTGTCCGACATAAGGCACTATGATCTTGTCCCATTTTAATGGGAGAAAGATTTAAATGTGACAGCCTGTACTTAATGTAGACAACCGTTTACGCTGTCATTTTGGAGAGCTACCAGGAGCCTGTGCTATTATACTTGGCTTTCTGTGAATGAGAGCAGTTGCAGTCCTTTGTTGCTTGTTAGGCTTTTGGCTGACTGAGGATGATGAGAACTGAATAATGACAGGGGATTTTTCCAAAATGCAACAGATATCATAACTGAAGTCTGACACCAGTTGGAGGGCTTTAATTGTACAGTTCTGTAAAAAAAAGCAATCTCCCTTATGACATCTCTTTAGAACATCTACTGAACTAGAAAATAAAGTGAACAAATTAGAGGTTTGTCTCTTCATTAAAGGTCTGTAAATGTAATTTTATTAGACTTCATTTAAAAAACCCGTAAAGTCCTTAATTCTAGAACAACATTCCCCTACTGAAATTATAGTCCATAGTCTGTACCACTATAATGTAAGCCAGTAGTATGGTGATGGGGTGTGGTAGTGGGGGAAGTGTTAGAGAATCAATGCCTGTCACATCATGGCTCAGTCATATATCCCCCACCCCAAGAAGTTGGACACTGGTGGTAAGGGGGTAAATGGGACAGGCCAGTGCCACAATTGTGTCACTAGCTTCTCCCAAAGGGGCAGTCTAGCCAAGAAAGGCAGGGAGAGTCCACCAAAGGTACTGGCTGGGCAATCAAGCAAGACAGCCCACGGAGGACAGACTATACAGGGAGCACTGTTTCAGTAATGTTTGCAGAGTCCTAATGCCCTGCGTGTAGCTTGAGAACATCTAGTAATGTGCTCACACTACACTTATTTTGGGGACAGTTGCAAAAGTTCCAAAGTCGGAACAGGACCCGAAAATCATTACAGGTTGGGAGGCCTGCACAATGGGGACCAAGGTGTAAGAGTAACAAGCTGACTGGTAGCCATGCTGGCCAACACCTTTCAAGATATCCCATTAAAAGAGTGTTGAGGTGTTGAAGCGCTTTTGTATTGCCAAAACAGGTTTTTCCACGTCCCCAGAAGTGAGCTAAAAATGCCGCCATTTAGTTAATATTGGACAATTTAGAGGTAGGATATTGGGATAGGTGTTTTCAAAAAGGCATGTCAACACATTGGGCAGGTATTGTGTGGACTTGACTAAAAGTAGAAAAAATTGAACCTTTAACTGTATTTTGACAAAAAGCAGGACACCAGGGAACTAAAAATTAAGTTTTTTGGATCAGTATTCCCTAAACATTTGGCAGGTTTTGCTTTGTTTTTGACTAAAGCAGGTGTAAATGCAACATAGACAGAATTATTCACTAAAATGAGAATTGATGGGAATTTAAAGTGAATTTCAAATTTAAGGCCAAAATAGCGGAGTTGGAAATAAAAATCTCAAAGTAAGCTAACATATGAAATTCACTTTGAATCCCTAACAAGTCTTACTTTAGTAAAGAGCCCTCACAATTTAGATCCCCCAAATGAAAAATTATTTGAAACAATACTAGATATAATGCATATTCAAGGTTCAGGCATAGCTGGTCAATATATTTTTTGTGAAATGTGATATTTTGTTATTTCATGGAGAATTTTCCTCCCTCTTAAATAATCTGTTATTACTTTATTTGAATTTTCACGCTGATCAGCCTATTCCCTACAATTTCTTATGACTGAAATGCGTATGATTTTAATTTATTGCTTATTTTACAAAAATACAGACTTTTCCTAAATCAAGGCCTTGTGCATTTCAAAAAGCAAACCATGAAATAGTTGGAAATCCCCTTGCAGAACTTGCATCACGCAAGTCTCAAATCCCAGTACAGCAATAGATAAAATGATGCGAATAATTTATTCAAGCGTCAATCAGACAGCTGCCAAAATCAGCAATCTCGTTTTACTGACTTGTCAACTGGTATAATTTGTTAAATAACAGGTTAGTAAATGCCAGTGACTTGATTTCAACTTGATATTTAAACAACTTCAGGCAGAATTTTTTTTTTTAATAAATAAATACATACACACACAGAGATTATATATATATCTCACACATAAAAATCCATCACATCTTCAGCTTCAACAGGAACCAAAAGAAAAGTACATTCGGTTTTGATGGGGAAAAAAATCTGGCATATGTTAAAACCCTATATTAAAACAGAATCAGCTGATCACTACATAATACGCTGTAAACTCTGTAGATTACTTTGAAAACAAATACCTATTGCAGATTACACTGGATGCCCTGCACTATTGCATATTAAAGAGACCCTATTGGCACCCAGACCACTTCATCTCATTGTAGTGGTGTGGGTGCAGCGTCTTTGTACCCTTAAAGGACCACTATAGTGCCAGGAAAACATACTCGTTTTCCTGGCACTATAGTGCCCTGAGGGTTCCCCCACCCTCGGGGTCCCCCTCCCGCCCGGCTCTGGGGAGAGGAAAGGGGTAAAAACTTACCTTTTTCCAGCGCAGGGCGGGGAGCTCTCCTCCTCCTCCGTTCCTCCCATTCGGCTGAATGCGCACGCGCGGCAAGACCTGCGCGAGCATTCATCCGGTCGCATAGGAAAGCATTTACAATCACGCAAGCGCCTCTAGCGGCTGTCAATGAGACAGCCCCTAGAGGAATTGAAGGAAGGATTAACCCATTTGTAAACATAGCAGTTTCTCTAAGCTGAAGTGGTCTGGGTGCCTAGAGTGGTTCTTTAAAGGGATTCTCTAGTAGAATTCTGTAGAATCTTGGAGGGCCACCGCCCCCATCCGGTTAAAAACCCTTCAGACACTTACCTGAATCCAGCGCCGATGTCCCTCGCCGTTGGGCTCCTCCCCCTGCTGCGCTCGCATTAGGATTTCCCCATAGGAAAGCATTATCCAATGCTTTCCTAAGGTGATTCCGGCGACGCTGGAGGTACACATGCATAGGGACACTGTACCTACAGTGTCCCTTTAACACTGCAGCTGCAAACATTGCCGATACAGCCTCTAGTGGCTGTATCCCTGACAGCTGTCCAGTGTTTTCAAAATCCCCATAGGAAAACATTAATTCAGTGCTTTCCTATGGAAAAGGCTAAATTTGCGTGTGGTGTTTACCATTTGATTAAGTTCCTACTCTGACCCTAAGGGGGCGGAGACAGAGTCTGGACCTTAGCGCTGGAATTAGATAAGTGTTTAAAGAGTTATTTAAACCCTTTTAATTTCCTGGTGTGTAGGGTGCAACTGTAGTGTTAGGAATAGAGCTTTGTATTCCTAACACTATGGTGTTCCTTTAAGGTGTATATTGCTGCCTACAGTACGTAACTTCACATACATTTGGAGCACTGAATAATAAGTGGATGTACGGCACATTGCATAATGCACACACACAATTCTATTGCTGTACATTACAGAACACTGAACATTAGGCAGGGATCTTTTCCATACAGGACCTAATACTGCACATTATACTCCGAGCAGGATTAACAGAAGGTGACCTTAGGTGGATGCCTAGGGCCCCAGAACAATTCATAGGTGTAGAATACAGAGGTCCCCAAACTAGTAACCTGCCAAGATTTCTGTAGTTTTGTAATCCTTTTTGGATTATACTGGAAATACCACCTACACTACCTAACAAAGGCACATCATACAGGCAGCTGTGCCTTCAGTAAGTGACCCTGGGCATCGAACTGAGAGCACTGTATACTGTACAGTATACTGTACATTGTACCTGGAACACTATGAGGTACATAACACAGGCTATTACACAGTGATGGAGATAATGAACCGAGGGCCCTGGAGCTAACATTCACAGCAGCCACTGATCCCCCTAAACAGTTATCAGCAGGTGGCCTCAATGTAAAGTGTCAGAAGCTCAGCCCACTGTTATGTCTCCAAACCTTTGTTTGCCCTTCCCTGCTGCCCTCACTGCATTTCCCTAAGGGGTACTCAGCAGCAGCACCCTAGTATCTGGCAGGTACGGGTGCAGCACTTCCTCCCCTGCTGTCATATCGGTAACACACAGTGCTTCCATGGAGCACTGTAGTCATTTTTACTGTGCTCCTAAACACAGCACATTACATTAGGAGCAATGAGTCCAGTGCATATGGATACTGGATATTAAGTGATATTACAATGCTAACACTCCCCATTTGCTTTGTCAGTTGTCCCAATTACTAGTTTAGTGTGAATATATTACTGATGCCAACATATTTACACCATATATTGTGCCCTGCATTTCACATGATTCTCAACTAGTCTTTAGCAGGCCTCCCAGCTATCCCGATTTTCAGGAATAGTCCCAATTTTAAGGGACACCAGGGAACTGTTCCCAACAAGCATAGGAAGGATGCATCAATATACTGAAACAATACTCTCTGCGGAGTCTGGCCTCAGTGTGTCAGCCAGGATGATAGGCAGGCAGCCTCGAAGACATTCATGCCAAGATGACCAGCTATTACGCCTGATTACTCCCCCCCCCCCCTCATACTGGCGTCCCAGTTGAGAGGTATGCTTTAGGGTAGCCTGGTCAATAAATTCCTTTCCTTGATTGTAGAGTAGTTAGTTGCCCTTTTAGACACTACTCTCCACAAAAGCCAGCGCTATTAAAGTATAAAATTCAGTCAAATCAAACATTTAAAACAAACCTACCTCTAACTCAAGCTCGTCTCTATCCATTTCGGGATGCAAACCTCCCATAAAGTCATTGGGGTCAAAATACTCATGCGGTGATGAATGTCTGAAACAAAATAATGAGAATATTTTAAAACACACCCATTCCTACTAACGACCAATTATAGTGTCATTTTGATTTGTGTAAAATGTTATTGTCAGAGAGCACAAACCTCTACCCTACATTATTCATAATTAAAACATACAAAACTGCTAGATGAAAAGGTAGAGGGGAAAAAAAAAATTAGACATTACTGGATTTCTATTAAGATAGAATAGGGGTCTCCAGCTTTTGAAATGCAAATATTTAATGAAGACGACAGAAAGGTGTGTAACAATTAGGTTTTATCACTGAGCCTGCTATTATTCTGTCTGCCATGATCACGAAGGAATACGAGACACGTCAGAGATCACTGTAACCGTGTCAAGAATAGTATATTTCTCTAGCAAATGCAATTCAATTAATTTATTCCATTAACAGTACAAAAACCAATGTAAAAAAAAAAAAAAAAAAGTTTTGACCTTTCACAGAAAACCATATTATTTAATTTTAACTGGAATCAGATGTGCGAAATGTATATTTAATTTCCACACTTCAAATCAAATATTTTCGGTCTTCGCTGCAGGCTTGCTAAAAGCGCCCTAGTACAATTTTATCCATTATAAAGCAGAATTAACATTTTGGAGTTTTAGGAAACTATAACTGGAACTTTTAGGAAACTAAATACACTTACCTTGCTCCATTTAAAAAAAACAAAAAACATTAAAAATATATATATTTTTTTCCCTCTGGTAGTCTACATCGGAGGACACCAAAGAAGAGTTCTTGATAATAGCTAGATGACAGGTATGCAAGTTTGCTTTGCGTGAGTTAAACTCCATGCAAGAGCTAGGAAGTGCCTCTAGTGGTGGTCTGGCAGACCACTACTACTAGAGGCTGCAGGGCTAAGGGGATGGGGACAGTGCACCCAGACAACTTCAATGAGATGCGGTATGGATGCCTTTAGTGTTCTTTTAAAATTGGGCTTATCTTTAGTCATTATAACCAGTTGTGCTCTTCCCCCAAAATAACAACAAATTGTAATTTAAAATGTAATGGTCACAATTGTAAAGTAAAAAATTTTTTAAAAAATATATTTCTGCGCTTTGTGACTTATTTGTATTTGCTGGGATACCACTAATACATTTTTTATATATATATATTTTGTAGTTGCAGTATAAGTTTTCTCACAGACAAATGGCCCTCCAAATTTCTTCACAACACAGACAACAGCGTGCAGAGTATGAAAAGTTGCAGGAATTACAAAAATGACAACAAACGGAGATGCTTCTTTCTTATAGTATGTCACTCTATGTATTCTTTCTAGTAAAACACTTCCTATACAAGATAAACAAAATTGCAATACTTACTCTTCATTTAGGAGATAAGGGTCTAAAACAGAAACGGTGGGTGAAGGAGAGCTCATTTTAGTCAAAGCCATAATGTGTTCAAAAGTTATTTCAGTTTGTGTTGATGTGTCAACAAGTTGTGCGTCAGATGTTGGGCTGTAAATCTTGGTACGGGGAGTGCGCCTCAAGACCTGTACAACAATTGGTTCTTTGGCAGTCTTGAATGCTTCTACTGCCTGGTCATGGGTGGCTCTGGATAAGTCTTTACCATTCACCTGTGGAATAAAGAAAAATGACATTAAACATTGCTGTGTTCCAGTCACAAATATTAAAACATTTAGCTGATGTGCCTACAGACAATACTGACCACCCATACCCAAACTTCACTTGAACCAAGTGTTTGAGTCCTATTTCTAATGCGAGCGATTATTTAACACATGCCCTATGATCTTCAGTTGGTAAGTGACACAATAAAATAGTTGTGGGCATCACGAGAGTCACAGTATAGAAACAAATGGAAATAAACCTGTTGGTGATACTTCTTTTACCGCCAGCACCCTAAAAGGCCACTCTAAAGTACTCAAATGGTTTTTTGGCTTGAGAAGTGTTGCCGTTAAGTTTGGCAAAGTATACATGGGAATTGAAGTTCTACAGCTGAAGATTTAGTTTATGTCCAACCTTGTTCCAAATGCAATCAAACAATGCAAATCTGAATGCATCTTTAGAAGAAAAAATGTAAAAGTACCAACTGAATGCAACTACTAAATCATCATCTATTCTATTGTGCCAAATTTTATTACATGACAGGAGGCTTCCTATTTTGCATAAACTTTCTTTACTTTATGCCTCCAGCAGCACAAGTCAATCAATCAGAAAAGAAAAGTGTTTAACCAATCAGAGTCCAGCACCTCTTGTATACAAGTCCCTGACAGGCTTCCCATTTCCTCTTTCTTTGCTGCTTCCAGCCAAGACACAGGTCAGAGTGATTTTACCTATAATTATTGCTGTACTATATATTGTTTCCAAATCTTTGCTTTATTTTGTTATCAGTTGTCATTATTTAGTGGAACTTTACTGTTGTTATTGGTTATTTCGTTTTCTGTTCTTTTTAATTTCGCCGAATCTTCCCCTGCCACCCCCTCCCCTCATTATTCTGGCCCTCTCTTTTACTCGCGGCTCTTTACCGCGACTGCGGCTTTAAATTGCCGTGGTCGCGGCTGGATACCGCGGCCAGTCTCTCCTGCGGCTCGGGCAGCTCAGGGCGGGCGGGTGGGGGAGCCGGGGACCATTTGCACTTTCGGCCCGCGATCTTAGGTGGGGAAACCGTGAATCACACGGTCCTCGTTCATCCCCACTCCTATCACCCTCAGTCTTCCAGTTTCCCTCTATAGAGGCAGGGGACCTGGGGGAGAGAGGGTGTTTTGGTTCTTTCTTACTTTTTCTCCTTTTGTGATTGCAATGTAAACACCTGTTATACTGTGATTAATATACAGCCAGTATCAACCCTGCCTGTCATTTTGGTAACAATCCAGTTATACAGCAACTATATAAACTACTACAATCAAATAAACAATATAACAAAAAAAATAAAATAAAATAAAAAAATAAAAAAATAATAAAAAAAAAAAAAGCTCTTCCAGAGGTGACCCCTCTGAGTGGGGTGACCCCCCACTGGCACACTATCATTGTTATTAAGGGGTGACCCCCCCTGCGCTGGGTGACCCCCAGGCGTGTGCCGTATTATCGGAAGAGCGGGGTGACCCCCCTACTATATATGCTGTTCACTCCTCCACAGGGGAGAAAATCTATCCTACTAATTCCCCGCTGGGCTTTGAAATTAAGGGCACGGCCCGTACCTTTACTAGGCTCTACGACCTAGACGAAGTGTTCTCTATCTCGGACCGCTCATACCGGTCTGCTGGAGGGTGACCCCCTCGCTAGCCCAGGATTACAGGCAGTGCTAATATACTTTGAGACAGGATAATTGATCTGGGCCAGTTGGCCACACTAGACGACCCCCAGTCGTAGGAGGAACGCCGCAACTCTTTATTACTGCCTTGTACTATTCACGTACTTCGGTACCTGACTCTATCCTGTCTTTCACAGACAGAGACTACAACCATGAACATGGGTGAGCCTTCACAACAAACTCCACCCGATTTCCAAGCACTAATTAATTCAGCGGTGGCGGCCTCAATGGAAAAGGCCATAGCAAAATTGTTGGTCCAAACCCCACATGGGGACCCGGATACCAAAGGCCCTGAGAAGTCTTCAGGGGATAGTGCCCCTCCCAAAAGACACTGGAAGGGTAATGGCCCAGCCCCACGGACGGCAAAGGGCAAGGCCCCACTCAAGAGGAGCCGCCAATCGGACCGCCTGGGTCCGTCAACCCCTCCGCTGACATCCTCCGATGAAGAGGGAGGTAACTCACCAACCCCGCTGGAAGTTATGGACGAGTGGAGAGCGGGGGACTCCCCATCTGAGGAGGACGACTGGTTCGACATACCCCGCGGCCACACGGGTTCTGAACTGGTCGAGGAACAGGACACCCGTCATGGGCACTGGAAGGTCGACACACAGGCAGACGACCTAGAGGACGGCACCTTCGTCGACCCCCAAGGCACTCCGATGTTTGATCCACGTGCGATACGTCACCCGAGATCATTGGAATGGGGTCTACTGGACCATTTAGCCCAATTTATTCATTTTTGGCTACGACAACCTATGGACAAAGAGGTACGGGCAAGACTGAAGGCCGAGTGTCTGAGACCCAGTCTACCGGACAAGATTGCTCACATGCCGGAATTCGACACCACGGTGTCGTATTCATGTCGCGGACGGGCCGTGACCCGCGTAAGGGCATTGAGAAGGGCCTCAAAGCTTATCAAGACAAGTTACTAGATATACTTGGCCCACTAGCTAAGATCTTGTAACCTCGCAGACGGAGCGCTTACGCAGGGAAATGCCTTGGACGCCCACGATGTCAGGGAATGGGCGCAACGCGTGATCTGCTTATTGGGCAACACCAACGCCGCACTCTGTGCGGAGAGACGCAAAGCCGCGCTACTCAAGATGGACTCCAAGCTCCTGGAACTCGGCAAGAAGGAATTGGGGCCACGGGCCAATGTCCAACTATTCGGAGAAGCCTTCATTGGAGAGCTAAAGAAACATGTGAACTTATTTACGACACTGAGCAAAGCCCAGTGTCATGCCAAAAGCATGAGTTGGTGTTTGATGTGTGTTTATATATGTTAAGAGTTGTTTTTTTTGTAAACCTTGGGATGACATTTATTGTGGTCTTTGATCTTGCACCAGGCCTAGACCATAAAACATCTAGATAGCCTTCACCAGAGCTGGACACAAGGAATTTCATAGAGTGGGCAATAGACTGCCAGACCAGCCCCCTCTGATCCCCCCCCAGGGGTCTGCCCACTGAGAAACAACTAGTTTAGATATATGAGGGTGTTGGACTATCCAGGGAAGCCAGTTATTCATTTTTCTTTTGTCAGTAACTTCTAGGAGACCGATACCATCTAAGACTCCCACAAGAATTCTATATGGGGTAAATATATGTAAGGAATTTCTTGTGTTTTCTCCTATTTTATTTTATGTACTGTTTTGCAATTTGTTTTCTGTATGTCATTTATTTCTGTATTTTGTACTCAGGACTGTGAATCCTTTTTGTCAGATTAAATGTTTACTTAATCAGCTTGTGTCTCTGTTCTCTATGAGCTTCACTCTCCAGAGGAAAGCTCAGGTAAACACGTTACCAAAAGGGGTTAACTATATATGTTTTATCAGTAAAAGTAGAACTGTGATACTATAATTCTCCTGTGTGTGGGGTAACCTAAGACGCCCGGGTTTAAAAGTCTTGGTGGTGGCAGTAGTACTAAGGGGGATAGTGTAGAAGGGATTGCAGGGGTTAATTGAGTGGTTGCTGGGACTAGCAACAGGTAACCAGGGGTCTGGTGTCATTAACCCTGTCACTTCCACACTCTCCCCACTGTCTCGGCTGGGCCTATAGCCCACGCTCGTGACACCCAGACTTCCATTAAACAAGTTTTTCCCAACCCTACTCCAACCAGAGGGGTTTTCGGCAGGGCTGGTCGCCATCGGGGCCGAGCCACCAGCCGTTTCTGGCCAACAGGCCCCAGGAATCAAGCTTCTCAATCGTTCTTCCCATCGAGACCACCCTTCTCGAGAGGAACCTTCCGACCCAGAGGAGCTCGTACCCGCGGACACTTCAATACAGGTGAGCACCCCTCAAGTACCGTTGTGCCTCTCTCATGTCACTGCTGGCAGACTGTCTCTTTTTTCACAGAACTGGGAAAAGATATCCTCCGATGCCTGGATCCTTCAAACGATCAAGGGCTACGAGATCGATTTCGCGCACACACCGACCCAATCACGTCGACCACAACTGATACGGACGTCAGTGGAACTCGCCAAGCTCATAGACGACGAGATCCGAGCGCTGTTCCTCAAAGGGGCAGTCGAATTTGCTCCCGACGACACAGGTTTCATCAGCAACATATTTCTGGTCCAGAAAAAGACAGGAGACTACCGACCCGTCATCAACCTACGCAGCCTGAATTCATTCGTAGCCTACAGACACTTCAAAATGGAGGGCATACACCTCCTCAGAGATTTACTACTGGAACACGACTGGTTCACACGTCTGGATTTAAAGGATGCCTACCTGTCAGTTCCGATGGCTCAGTCCAGTCGACCTTTCCTTCGATTTCACTGGAAAGGACGCACATGCCAGTTCACGTGCCTCCCATTTGGCCTCAGCTCCGCCCCTTGGTGCTTCACGAAACTACTGAAGCCAGCCATGGCACATTTACGGACAAGAGGGATCCGATGCCTAATCTACCTAGACGATATACTGATTTTCTGCGACAACGCCTCCAAACTACGATCTCAGACGAAATTCATAGTGCACTTTCTGGAATCCTTGGGGTTCATTGTGAACATGGAAAAAGTCAGCTCTCTCCCCATCGAAAGTCGTGCAGTTCCTCGGATTCGAGATAGATTCAGTAACATGCACGCTTCGCCTTCCCAAGGCGAAGATTGCGAATATTCGGAAGGAGATACGCCGTTTTCTATGGAAAGACATGGTCCCTCTGAGATTGCTGGCCAGGATTGTCGGCCTACTTTCGTCCTCCATACAAGCAATTTTCCCGGGACCCCTCCACTACTGAGCCATGCAAAGACTGAAAGCTCACCATCTGAGAAGAGGACACTCGTACGATCAGGCGATCAGGATAACCGCGGAAGTTCGGACGGAACTTCGTTGGTGGCTGCTCCACATGGAGGCTTGGAACGGCAGGGCCATATTCGGCTCGAACCCGGATTTCATCCTGGAATCGGATGCCAGCCTGTGGGGTTGGGGAGCCCACTGCGCACACGCATCCACGGGGGGCCCCTGGTCGGAGGAGGAAAAGTCACTACACATCAATTGCCTAGAGTTGATAGCCGACTCATTCACCATCCGCAGCCTGGCCAAGCACGTGTCCAATTGTTGCATACTTCTACGCATGGACAACATATCGGCAGTCCAATACGTGAACAGACTGGGAGGAGCCAGGTCACGAACACTGACGGAGGCTACCAAAGACATATACCAGTTTTGCCTCCCTCGCAACATAACCCTCAGAGCGGAATACTTACCAGGCCTCAACAATCTCACGGCGGATTGGTTCTCCCGGCATTGGCGGGACTCCAGCGATTGGCATCTGGACACAGAGATCTTCAATACGGTGAGATCGATCAGGGGACCACTCCACATAGACCTTTTTGCCTCACGCACGAATACACAACTACCGAGGTACTACAGCTGGTTACCGGACCCCCAGAGCGAAGCAGTGGATGTCTTTCTACAACACTGGCCTTCGATGGGAGCGTATGCTTTCCCACCATTCTCGATGTTAGCAAGAGTGCTCCACAAACTACGCACATCCAAGACATCGCTCATCCTGATCACACCCTTGTGGAGAAGCCAGGCATGGTTTCCCGACTTACTCGCATTATCTCACGACCACCCGCTGGTCTTACCGACGTTCCCCACGCTTCTTACGAATCCGGATGCGGAACCTCATCCTCTCATACTTCAAGAACGTCTAGAGTAGGTAGCTTGGACGCTTTCAGGGGATCTTGGGCAATCCCAGGCTTATCGCAAACGGCTAAGGACCTCCTTTGGGACTCTTGGGCACCAGGGACTAGATGCAGCTACATGGCAGCATGGGATGTATGGACCGCTGGTGTCTGGGAAGGAGCCTCGATCCCTTTACAACACCTGTATCGGCCCTACTAAATTTTCTTTCCACCTTGTTTTCCAACGGGAAATCATACCGGTCCATTAACGTTACACGATCCGCTATATCGGCGGCGCATGTTCCAGTTAATGGTACCCCAGTGGGTCAGGAAGCCTTAATATGTCGACTATTACGAGGCATCAAATTGGCTAGACCACCGACTCCGAAGTATCGCCAGTTATGGGATGTGGATGTGGTCATTCGATTCATTCAGAACTGGCCGGATAACTCTGCTCTATCACTCAGACAATTAGCAGCCAAACTTACTTTGTTATTATGCTTAGTCTCTTTCCGTCGGGTATCGGATGTTCGGGCTTTCGACGTGGACGGCTTTACTATAATGCCCGTCGGTGTTACGTTTTTGATATCCCGAAGGACTAAGACGGACTCCAAATCCGTGTCCTACCCATTTTTTCCGGCGGTTCCTCGTCTTTGTGTCGTCTCCACCTTACTCCGTTATGTGGAGGTTACGGCGCCTCTTCGGGCTAACGGAACGGGACAACTGTTAATCTCTTATACCAGACCATACAATCCAGTGACCACTACTACGTTAGCTAGATGGATACGGTGGTTACTGTCACTAGCCCGGATAGATGCTAGTTTCGGGGCCCATTCGGTTCGAGGGGCGGCGGCATCTAGGGCCTTCTCGGCGGGTGCCTCCCTGACGGACATTCTACGTACGGCGGATTGGACCAGAAAAAATACCTTCAGGGTGTTTTACTTTCGCCAATCATCACACGCGTCCTTAGCGTTTTTACCCCAGCGTTAAAAATGCAAAATAGGAAGCCTCCTGTCATGTAATAAAATTGTAGATTATGCTAGCGTAGTGTACAGATAATCTTAATTTTAATAATGACAGGAGGCGAGTATTTTCCCCCCCTTACTTTTTGTTCCCTCCCTCTACTCTGAGGATTCACATACTATTCATCTAGCTATGGGTAAAAAACTGAGACAAGGGACGCTTAGACCAGATGTCGTTTACTAGTTAGCACAGTTTTTAGATCAGAATTGAACCACTCTATGTTTACAGGATTATATGTCTGTTAGAGTATTAACGTTGATTTGTTAGTTTAGATTTTAGATACTAACATTAGTTTTGCTAGCTTTAAGACTAGGATTAAAGGTTGATATGCGGACAACAGTTGTTTTCCCACGCCTTTCAGTTCTTTCTATTTCTTTCAGCTTAACATCACTTCATGAGACAGAAGTCGGATCTTAGATATCCTCTGCGTTTCCACAAGTTGGCAAGTTATTCCGTTCAAGTTTTTCTTCATCTACGAAAGAGTTTGTCGCCTTCCGGCATGATCACAACAAAGAAAGAGGAAATGGGAAGCCTGTCAGGGACTTATATACAAGAGGTGCTGGACTCTGATTGGTTAAACACTTTTCTTTTCTGATTGATTGACTTGTGCTGCTGGAGGCATAAAGTAAAGAAAGTTTATGCAAAATACTCGCCTCCTGTCATTATTAAAATTAAGATTATCTGTACACTACGCTAGCATAATCTACAATTCTGCAGCAGAAACGAATAATGGCAAATTCTTAAATCAATCATCCCTCATATCGCCTCCAGCCATCAGTATAAAGAACTTCCTGAAACTTCACCATGAAATGTGTCAAATAAATACATAAATAATGTAATAAATGTATACTTAGAATGAAGGTGGCAAGTTTATTGCTAAACAAGAAATGACTTATCATTTAGAGATTATACAGGCACACTACTACAGTTTATTGCATGGTATTATTGGAAACTGTTCTTTTTTTCTTCAAACTTTTAAGAATTTTGGGGGCGGAGCCAGAATAGCGAGCTAGCTAGACGTGTTTCGCATGAGCTCCTGCTGCACAGCGGAAAACTTTGATTTCTCGGGCCGAGGTACCAGAAAACAAGGCAAACAGAGCCCTGCAAACAGAGCCCTGCAAGCAGAGGTACCTCACCCAAAACTTTTGCCACCGGAGCCGACGTTCTGAATGCCCAGGAACCGTCACAGCAAGGTGCGGCCTACCAGTGATAGCGTGGGAGAAAGATGGCAGCTTATCTCCGATCTTGAAACAGAGCTGAGTGAGACTCTCCTAACCCCCCAGGTTCGTGGCCAAAGTGTACCGGCTCTCCCACAACCCCAGGGCTGGAGGAATACCCCTTCACCGCAGTGCCGCATCACTCCCCAAAATAGACAGTCTATAATCAAGAAGTGACCACCGTGGTGGCATCGGATGACTGATCGAAGCGGAGGCCAGAGGGGCTAGCTTGGTCTCCCGCATCCCACGACCACCTTTACCTTACGGGACTTTGGTCCAAACTATATTGCAGGCAGCACAAGATTGGTCGGCATATCTCGGCATCCTGTCTAGTGAACTAACCATGATATGTATAACATTTTACTTAGCCAGACAAAAGCCTGTTACCCTGCACTCGCTCACTTTGTCCTGTACGGCCACGCACAGGATGCACCACATATAGGACGCACTGCATTACCAAGAGAGGATAACCTTGCATAACACTGACATATTCTCATTTCCAAGTTACAGTGTTCACCGTTTTGTCTAGCCTGTTCACTTTTTGCAAACCCACGCTCAACGCCAAGTTTAGATAGTCACACCTAGCCTGTTTAGAATATTCCTAAATTGTGCTTGTTATTGCTATTACTCCAATGTTCTATGCAACACGAAGCCTGAGGAATGCCGTTGGGGTACCTCACGCCTGTTTGTACTCATCTCCAGCAATGCAAAAAAAAAAAAAGTTAAAAAAAAAAATAATTTTATCTCAGATCCAAAGCCACTACCCTAACCTGCTGTCTAGTCTAGATATTGCAGACATTATAGTAAACCTGGTCACTTTTGAGCTGTGAGCGATATGCTAAGCCACTGCCAGAACTCAGCAGCTTTTTCAAATCATCCCCATTCCCAAATAGACTATTTCAGCTTAAATGGAGCAACATTTTTAAATAACGCACAGTTCACATTAAATTGTAGCCAGAAAGACAATTTGATTTACACACATTATCTAAGCACAATTTGAACCTACACCACCATAGAACAAAAACTGACCACCTCTAGTTCAGAGGAACAAGCAATGTTGAAGAGTACACATTTCAGCTACATATATTTTATTTCTTGAATTGTCTCTAAGACCCCGCAGAAAAAGTCTTTGTTCCTATAGCATACGGTTTGTAGGCTTTTGAAGATGTGCCCCAAGATGTAGGATTAATGGCGAAGGATGCTGGGAGTCAAAAGCCTACAGCAGGGCAGTGTCCGCTATCCATGCACAAAACTGGTTTTCCAGCCTCTTTCTATTTGAAATTTCCCAAACTTACAGTTGTACAAGAGTTCCAGTTTAGGACTATTTGAAGGTAGTTCAGGACACTTGGTAGGTATGCTTTACTTGTAGTGACTTTCCTCATTGTAAAACAAAGCGAAATATGTTGAAGATTACAAATATACTGACAGATTGAGCATACTGGGAGTTGGAATAAACTGCTGATGTAGGGCTAGACACATCTATCTATTCAATAAAGGCGATAAGCGCTTCTAAATCCTGCTATTTAATCACTTATGTCAATCATTCTTCCTCAGATTGAACCTTAGATTGACAAAGAACAGTTGCAGCTCTCAGAGTTGATCTCCCCCTGATGTTGAGCGGTGAGCCTAGCGTCGCTGACTCCAGGGGTTTGTCTAATAGACTAATTACATTCCGTATCCAATTCTTCTATCTGATCCATGTTCCGCCGTTATCTGTGCTATACCAGACTACAAAGCAATGAACTGATTGCCTCCGGCGGGAGGTAATAAACAACTCTTATCGAAGTGGAGTTACCTGTAAGGCACAATCAATATATCTAGGCTAGTTAAAAGGCTCATTGCAGCTGTATAACCCCTTAAGGGCATGTCATGATTCCCTTTTATTCCAGAAGTTTGGTCCTTAAGGGGTTAAAGGACTGTTTTCCTGCATGCCACACTTTCAATGCTCAATCAGTGCAGGATAACATTAGGTGTGCTAATACGCACCTTACGGGGTCTAAAAGACCGGCTTTTTGTTTTAATTAAAATTTCCCAATTATCTACAACAAATGTGATCTCCTTCTCCATATACCCCCTTAATTATATGTGAAGAATGGTCTTACAATCTTACCCATTACACCAGGAATTGTGTAGTATCTAAATATAAACTAATCATAAACTAATATTACAAGCCTCTATATCTCACCGCACATCAGAATTATGTCATTATATATCCTCCTCTATACATCACTGCCAGTGCAATATCTATGGGTTACAGAGTTAGGAGGGAACTTTTCCAAACGTGCAATGCTCTAAAGCCTGTGCGGACGGCCATCGGTGTTTGTAACACTAGCAGAAAGCTATTAGCCGTCTACAGTATTTCATGAAAAAATGTAAATGGCAAAGAAATAAAAACACACAAAAATTCACCTATATGTAGAAATGATACAGACAGAGAACTGTACATTTTAACTCTACAATGTAAAACATTGCATTATTATTTTTCAAACTGCAATCTTTCCAAAGTCCAGTGACAGTCACTAGAGGAGCTTCCTCCTACAGAACAGAGGAAAACTCTGTCACGTAACAGGGAAGGCCGTAGGAAAAAATTGAATACAATGCTTTCCTATGGGGAACCTTGAATGTGCACGTGTAATGGGGAAAAAATTGAGTTAAAGAGTTAGAAAACCGTTACAGGAGACAAAACCATTATTTCAACACAACATTTTGAGAATTTAAGCCACGTTAGCCAAATTGGGACTATAACACAATTAGAGAATCTTTTTTAGATCACTTATTTTATCCCATATTTGGTCAATTTTGATTATATAAACCCCCCTCCCCCCCACCCCCCCATTTTTTTTTTTTTTACATAACAGACATGTCATACTTAGTTTTTCAGTCTGGAATTAGATCATAAAGTGTCAGTCTGGTGCTACTTTGTCCATTTAAAATGTTCGGAGGTAGAGCAAAGAGGAACACTTTGAATGGATCGTGTGATGTGGAAGCGCATATGAGAGTATTGAATAAAAACCATTGTCTGTAAACTCAGCACATCATGTCCCCAAATCTTCCCTATGAGAAGCATTGAATTGGATCAGCAACGAGGAAGCCATGCCTCCTCCATGACGTCGCTGGAAGCAGAGAGGTCAGCAGCACCGGAAAAAAGGGAGTAAAAAGCTTTAAAAAAACAGTAAAAAAAAACACTAAGGAAACTAAATCTAACTAGGGACAGGGGCACTATAGTGTTTGTATTCCTCACTCTACAGTGTTCCTTTAATTGAACTCAAACTACAGCTAGTATTAGATAAATATAATTTTGAATGGTTGAAAACACAAAGAACATAGATATTATGAACATAAGATTTCAAATCAATGAAGCTTCTTATTTTTCTCTGTTTCCCACATTGATTTCAGTTTGTAACATGCATTGACTCTTAGAACCACAAAAGGCTGAATAAATAAACGCATAACCTTTACTTATAAATATGAACATCAGCTTTTCCATAGAATTGCAGTTTGCATTAAAGGTGTTGCCGTTCTTTGCTCCCACATCTGACACCCCATCATGAGGGCTTCCATCTTCCTGCTGGGAGCAGATGCTGCTCTTTAATTTTTAAGATTCATTGCAAAGCTAATGACAACTGAACATAAGCAATTTTGAAGATGTATTTGAACCAATATCCCTTGGCTGTTTACCGATATCCTAGATTGATGTATAGCTCCTCCAGCCTGGGTCTGTGTACAGCTGCAAATAAAGACTCACATTCTGGGTATTGCAAGAAATATCACAGGTAGGCAGTGACTTTAATGAGTTGACAAAAAATATACCCTTAAGTGGGCACTATAGTCACCTAAACAACTACAGCTTATTGTACTTGTTCTGGGGAGTAGAATCATTCCCTTTTTGCAGTAAACATGGTCTTTTCAGAGAAATTGCAGTGTTAACATTACAGCCTAGGGATAACTCCACTGGTCACTCCTCAGATCAGATCGCTACTAGAGGTGCTTTCTGGGGCATTGTTGTACAGTGTGCAGTACTGCCATTCAGTGTTTCCACCCTCAGCATGCAGACACTGAACTTTCCTCATAGAGATGCATTGATTTAATACATCTCTATAAGGAGATGATGATTGGCCAGGATTGTGTTTGGCTTGTTCTGGCTCTGACCCTGATCTGTCTCATTGACAGTCTCAGCCAATCCTATAGTAAAGCATTGTGATTGGCTCAGAGAATCACTTCTGTTTATTTTAGCTAAGCAGGCACATCCGGAGCAGAGACGGCAGCTGCAGACCTGAATACAAGTAAGATTTGACTATAGTTATGGGGGCAGAAGGGGCTATATGGTGGTTTTAACACTTTAAGGTCAGGAATACATGTTTGTGTTCCTTACCCTATAGTGTTCCTTTAATAATTAGTTAATCTATAACTGCCATAATGCTTTTCTAGACCTATGCCCTAATAGAATTCTTTGCTTATGCCATAAACCGATACATTCTCAGATGTCCCTTTGATCAACACTCGCTAGTGACTGATTTTAAATACCACTGAAATGTTTCTCTTTTAGAAGTAAACATTCACAATCTGCTCCTCCTGCCGTTTTGTTAGCAGGTATCAAGAAGCGAGTGAGATCACTCTGATGATCATGGTCCTCACTTGTTTTCAATGGGAGCTATGCATAACACCCAAGTGTCCCGATCTAGAAGAGACCGTCCATTTTGGGGGCACAAATCCATTTGCTCCTCTATTCTTTGAGCTCCATATTGTTGGTGTGAATGAGTGTGCAACATAAAAATATGTAATATGTGTTTAGAACTACAATAAATGTGTCTAGAAATGAATGTGTAAATATGATATATTGTTCTTGCTATAAATTACATTTTAGTTGCATAAAATGTTACAAGTAAGTCCCCTAAATCTTCTTAAAACAGCTCCACCCCTGGCCCGACCCCTAAAATTAAAGGGACACTGTAGGCACCCAGACCACTTCAACTTATTGTGTCCCTTTTGCACTTAGTGCTGCAATGCTGCAGAGAAACTAGTCTAATGTTTACATTGCAGCTCTAAGTCTGCCCTCTGTGGCTGTCTAAGATTGAATAATGCTTTCCTATGGGGAGATCTATTGCCTGCGAAGCCATTGGCGCGAGGAGCGTGGGCAGAGCCTGACCCAGCACCAAGGGACACCAGCGCTGGATTCAGGTAAGTGGCTGAAGAGGTTTGAACGGGCCGGGGGCGGGGGGGACCTATTAACCCTATAGTGCCAGGAAAACGGGTTTGTTTTCCTGGCACTATAGGATCCATTCAAAGTGTTCCTCTTTGCTCTACCTCCGAACATTTTAAATGGACAAATGGATTTTAAATGGACAAAGTAGCACCAGACTGACACTTTATGATCTAATTCCAGACAGTTTAGAGCAGGGGTAGTCAACCTTTTAATACCTACCGCCCACTTTTGTATGTTTGTTGATGGTAAAATGTCCTTACTGTCCACCAGGGACGCAGTGAATAATTTTATAGCGCAGGTGCAATTTAACATTTTTTTTTTTTTTTTTAGAAATGAGGATTTTTTTCTTTTTTTTAAATGTACTTACATTTATCTATTTTTTTCTATTCTCCTTTTTTATATGTGTGTCTGTGAGGTGCTGATTGTGTGAATGGTGCTGTGTGAGTGGTGGGTGTGGAGGGCTGTATGTGGGTGAAGGGTGCAGTGTGTGTGAGGCGCTGTGCGTTTGTGAAAGGGGCAGTACATGTGTGAAGGGGGCAGTGCGTGTGTGTGCGTGAGGGGGCAGTGTGTGTGTGTGTGTGTGAGATGGGGGCAGTGTGTGTAAGGGGTGTAGTGTGTGTTTGTGTGTGAAGGATCCATAAGGTCTATGCTTTGTGTGGGTGGGTGAGATGTAAAAGTCTATGTTAATGTCTCCCCCTCCTTTCTTCTTACCTTTTACCAGGGCGGGGGGGACATAATACCGCAAGCCCTGGTGGTCCCGTGGTGGCATGTTCACTTTAGCCTGCAGCTCCTCTGGCTCAGGCTGACACTCCTGTCCTCCTACGAGTGCAGCACACGGCAATGCTCTGACCAGCCTGCTCGCGGGAGGAACACAGAGCCCCCCAGGCCCTTCCCTCCCTCTGCTGGAACTAAGTGCTTTGATCTCCGCACCAGCGAGAGGGCTTACAGCAAGGCTGACTGCAGGGACCGGCAGGGGAGATTAAGGGATCTCCCCTGACGGCCTTGGTCCAGGGCCATCGAGGCCCACTGGGCGTTTTCTGCAGAACCCACCACCGCTCACCTGAAATCCCAAACCGCCCACTAGTGGGCGGTAGGGACCAGGTTGACTACCCATGGTTTAGAGTGTTAAAATAATGTTTTTTTCCATCCAGCAGCCTGTGCCTTTATCTATACCTTCCACAATCCTATTGTTTGTCATGTTGCTATTTTATTCTTCTCTACACTGTTCCCCTTTGTAAGGTATTAAAGATTAAAGGAAGTGTCAGCAAAAATGTTATGTAATAATATACGATCGCATTTATTTTAATTAATTTATATCAAAGTTTTTGAAAAAAATATTTGTCTACCTTTCCCACTCTCATTTCTGACAGCTAGCTCTACTCACCTTTGGTCTGATTGTCAAGTATCTGACTAAATGCTTGTCACCCCCTTCTGCAAAATTAGTATTTCACTGAAATTCCAACCCAGTCAAGAGACTTATTTACTTCAGTATTTTTTCCTACGCCTGACACTTCTAGACACTGGGCTGAACTACCACTGTCCAGAAGTGTCAATCTCCCAGTCATCACCAGTGATGGCTGCAGCGAATTGGATATATTTATGAAGAGTCTTGCGGAACCCTCCATAAACGTCAATGCTGTACTCTCACGCATGTGTCAGAGTACAGCAATGATGTTGGGTCCTGGCGAGCAGAAGAAGATGCCGATGCCCACTAGGGACAGGTTCAGGTAAGTTGAACTAAGATTTTCCCACCCCCTGGCCATCGGTCCCAGCACAGTGACCGTTCTGCTTTAACAATTGTATGTTGCTTTTCAAAATCTCCTTGCAGATACAAATGGAATTTGATTTTGAAAGCCACTTTTAAAGGAACACTCCACTGCTCAAATACAAAATAAAAATCACTATGCAATTAATAATGCATTTTTTTCATTGGCGTTTTATCTAAATACTGCTTGCAAAAGCTGCAGATCTCTTGTCTGCTGCATTTGCAATCCCTCCTCTTCTACTCGGCCCAGACTTTCTGTAGTTGTCCAATCACAGACATGCCAATGCAGCTCAAGTTGCTGCCTCTTGAGTTTAGCTCCACTGAGCTAATGAAACCAGGAAGCAACAGAACTGGTCTGCTTGATAACCAGGGGGTGTAACCAGGTTAATTCCTAAAAGGGTCATTTTAATTGAAATATGCACCTTTTAAAAAAAAATAAAAAACATGGGGACACACTCAACACACACACTTTTTTTCCTGACTACAAATCTCTTTTGTGTTTTTTTGAAGCTGTCCTATTTCCTCCCTCCTCACCCCCCCCACCCCCCATTTACAAGCATGAACAGCAAACATTTGTATGCATTTGACGGTTTGAAGGCTGTCTTATTTCTATATGTCGGCGAGGAAACGTTTTTATTTTACGTAATGAGTAAACATTCTCTAAAATTGGGTAAATCCTTGGGAAACGGTGTACTCTAAAGCAAGGTTCACAGTCCAGTGTAGACACTTGTTTTCTGTCCAAACCCCCTTTTCTGCTCTAATAAACATCTTTAGTTAGTTTGTAAGAAGCGGAATTCTAAGAAGAAGAAAAAGAAAACAAAATCTCTATTTTCGCCTATGTCCTTTCACTCATGGATTCCAGAAAAGTAGATTTGAGGCACTGGTTAACTCTGCTTGCGTATCTGCTTAATCCGTCTTTTCTTTTAGTTAGACAGACAGTCATTCTGTTTAGCAAACTGAATCGTGTTGTGTAATAATAGACTGTTAGCTCTGAGGTGGTAAATGGCTCACGATCAACCTTTGTGTTCAAGATAAATTGCATGGATTCTTTCCTTTTCCACAGATTGAAAAAGATCTGTTCCAAAGCTTCTGGCTGAGTGTAGCTTTAGGTATATTTTAAGTTGGCCTAAGAGTTTTACAAACTCTGATTTTATTTTTGTTTTTCCTTTCTTTATTTACACTCCACCCCCCTCCCCAAAACACACACAATCTTGTGGTTTTGTATATATATATATATATATATATATATATATATATATATATATATATATATTTATACGGATTTATTTTTTAAATCAGAATTTTCTCAAAGTGTATTGTATGCATGTATTTGTATTGATACATTTTCTTATAAGAAAGTCTATTTGACTCCAGGGTTTTCCCCCAAATGATACAACGCTGATTCAGTGAAAGGCGAGATTCTAACCAGCACAGGGTGAAGAGACAAACTGACAATACATAAGGGAAATAAGGAGATGTTGGGGTTGTTAGGGTAAATATGAAGTGTGTCAGAATCAATAGCAGATTCTAAGGGTAATCAATAGATTTTCAGATTGACTGGTCATATTCTCAAGGGCATGGAAGTTGTGGTGTCTGAATGAGTGGACATATTTCCATGGTTTAGTTACAGACTCTGCATGAATTGACAGATTCCCATGGAAATAGGGCAGAGTCTCAAAATGAACCGAAAGGAATCGAGGAAGGACAGATTGTCAGAAAGAGGTCTATTCTCGGGTGAATTAGCATGTGTTCAGGGGTACACGGTCTATAGCAAACCCTTTATTTTCAAAATACTTAGACCAAATAAAATGCCTCTTTTCTTATAACGTACATGATAGGTGTTGGACATCATAAAAATATTGGGGTGTCCATGTTATATGCTTTATATTTTAAATTTCAACAAATTGGGGTGGGAAAATATTTGTTTGTATAATAAAATCCAAACTATAAGCATTGCAGAAGTGCCTGTTGTAAAGATGTATAGAAATGTATTTCTATACTTCAATAGCCAAAAACCACTTCCGCCTAGAATATATTCGACATATCATTAATCTGATCTCCAGAACAGTATAAACAGATTCTGCTGTGACACAGAATAACCTCACATACATTTCATGATATAATTAAAGTACCCTGACGGATACATTATGAATGTTCCTTTTTCTGTATGCATTATGCACACTACCTTGCCGGCAACAAGAATAAAATGTGAACTTCTCCGTAATAATTAATTAATATGGGCAAGTCGTTTATGTGTTTTGCACAATTTTACTGTTCCATATGTTTCATTTTGCCGTCCTATGTGACAAGCAATGAGACGTGCCCCTCCCTGCCACCTGCTAAACAGAAGTAAGCAGATGTATAAGCGGGTGGGGGATGAGAAGGCTGAAGTTGAGCAATGGGCTTATAAGAGAGATGTGACATTACATCAGCATAGTACTTGGCAGGGCTCTCCTGAGCACTTGTCAAGAATGATACAGAGCAGAGGAAAGGGAGACCCAGTTATACAGACTGGACATGGAGGGTCTGTTAAGTAAATTAGCTCTCTTTTGGCTACATGAGAATAATAAGGATTTTTTTAAACTTGGCTATGCAGGTCTACATTTTGCAAAGCAATTCTCAACTCACCACAACTGACTGTCTACTGAATAAGCCACATGTGGTTTTGTGATCGCTACACCTACTTATTTAACAAGGAACAGGGGATGGTTGCACTGCAAATACTGACAGTGCTCTCACTCCTTACTAGTTTAAAGCAGTGTTTTGTTTTTTCAGGCCTTGCACGCTATGCAGTTTTGTTAAAGGGACACTATAATCACCAGAACTACAGCTTATTGAATCTGTTCTGGTGAGTAGAATCATTCCCCTTTTGCAGTAAACCCTGACTTTTCAGAGAAATTGCAGTGTTTACATTACAGCCTAGGGATACCTCCACTGGCCGCCACTCAGATGTTTGCTAGAGATGTTTCCTGGGGCAGTGCTACACACTGTGCAGTACTGACATTCAGTGTCTCCACACTCTGCACACAAACACTGAACATTCCACATAGAGATGTATTGATTCAATACATCTCTATAAGGAGATGCTGATTGGCCAGGGCTGTGTTTGGCTTGTGCTGGCTCTGTATCCTTGACAGTCTCAGGCATATGTGGAAGCATTGTTATTGGCTCACAGCACCACTTCTGATGAGGTCAGCCAAGCAGGCAGATCAGAGGCAGAGCCAGCAGCAGCAGACTGGAGTAAACGTAAGCTTTTGATCTATTTAGGGGAAGAAAGGGGGGCTAGATGGTGGAGTTAACACTATAGGGTCAGGAAAACAATATGCCTGTGGCCTGTGGCAGTTATTAGCAGTTATTAGCAGCAATGTGAGCAGATCTTATATGTATTCAAAAATTGTGTAGAAAATGTATGAAGATGTAAGAATGCTTTGTGACAGAGGAAAGAATGCACTATACCTTAATAATGCAGAATTGGAGAGAAACTTGATTGTTTATACACATGAATGCAGCAGTGTGGCATGCCCATAAAAGCCACATGTGACTCAAGCCATTTGCTGTTTCTACTGAAAGGTTTTGAAAGGAAAACGAAGAAGAGGAAAAAAAAGTGAGTTTGGGAAGGAAAATTGAGCATTAAGGGACCCTGCAAGATACAAATCCCAGTGGGAGGGTCATCTTACTGGGTCGCCAGAACCTACCCCTCCAATGTTCCCTTCCCATGATGGACCATAGCTACTGGGGTTCGGTCTGTATTCGATTTAACTTCCAAAAATGTATGTCCCACATAACATACTGCTCAAGGAATTGTATCTTGTCCAACATTGCTACCTGTAATTTGCCTTATACCCCCACCTAAATTTTGGATAAATTACTTAAATTTGCCAGCTTAACCCATGATTGCAGCTTGGAAAAGGTACAATATCTTGGCCAGTACTCCTATCAGTATCTACTACTTGTCCATGTTCTGGTTGGAAGTGTAAGTATGTTGCACATTGAAAAATAGCTTTTTGTTTAAAAACTTCTAATTCAAAATGCATCTAGAACAAGTAATTGAATGTTGCTCCCATATGGGTTATGCCGTCTACACACAACTGCATAAATTATTCCTACTTGCATCTTGGTATGGTCCACGGAAGCTGGTGGACCAAAGATAAGCTATTTCCATCAAATTCACAATGGTAACATTAAAAAATGAATCCAACATGGTTCAAATACAATAACTCTCTGCACTTATTAATAAAGAAAGGTTAATTCAATTAACATACTCCAATTCTACCACAACCAAGCCACTTTCTTCTTCTTTGGAGCTATCTGCTTCATTCTAAAAATGCACAAAACCTTAAACCATAACAATAAAAAAAATAATTAACAGCTCTCATATTCTCTGAAATCAAACAAGTACAAGTGATATTCTAAGTAGCTTAAAATATGTTGAGTATGTTTTCTATAAGAATGGATTTGTCTCAGGAGCCCTCAACACTTTGTTTCAAGCTGACTGTTTAATTGTTCGCAGGCTCGTAACTGCGTATTCCTTTATTCACACGGATTTATGTGTAATAAAATACTTTTCCAAGAGGGGATTCATACAGAGCCGCTGCATTATTTATCCGCAAGTCAAGAGGAAAATTTCAATTGCTAACTTCTGATGAATGTCTAATTAGTGATGTGGAGATACTGAGCAACAGAGATACAGTGCAATCATTAGAGATCCACATTTTTTTGTTTATTTTTAAAGATTATGTATCCTCTCGTTTGTGAAGCCGGGGATTTTGCTAGCTTTTTTCCCCCCCATCACTGAAACACTTTGTGATGGAAATACCTGAAGTTAAAAAGTTTTGTTTAAGCAAACATACACTGTCTTTCATGATAGTGAGATAAGATCCCATAATTGTTTAAGTACAAGTTGATATTTTGTAAGCAATGCTCCTTCTCTAAGAATTACAGGTCTTTAACGGCCGTACTTAAATTAAAAGGCTTGGACTGGATTAGAAGGATAAAAAAAAAACAAAAAAAAACCACAAGGATTTATCTATCTATTTAACATATATTATGCCGCAGTCTTATCTAGAGCACTTAACGTTTAGCAATTATTTTATGGGTAATGGTTTTCTGAGTGTATGGTGTGTAAGTGGACATATTGGTATAAATTGACTGTGTATACGCCTATAATATATCTAGGGGATCTCAAACTATATCTCCCCCAAATATTACTGAACTACAACTCCCATGATTAGATGCCAATCTATTCCATTCAAAGAATTCTGGGAATTGTAGGCCATCAACATCTGTGGTGCCAGAAGCTGAGACCATATTTGTTCCATACGTGTACCAAGTGCTATGCAAGATGAAAGAAATCAAGGGGAAGGGGTGTTAGAAAAAAAGGGCAAGGGAGAAAATTAGATTGAGGCTAGAGCATTTGGGGGTAACACAGAAAAGACAGTTATGTTTAATAGCAAATGAGGAGTGAGTCATATTTTTAGAGATTAACCGAAGAACTCAAGCAGAAGGGGAATCATGCTCTAAAATAAAGTAATGTGGTTACAGTTAGGGATCCATGATGAATATTAGAAAATATTGAACAGTGCTTTGCACAACTCATTTTTTAGAACATCTAGCAGGAGGCCTGGATCCCTGATGGCATAGTTCCTACTCTTGAAGACGCAGGGATCTAAAAACGATTTGTGAATAAGCCTCCAACCCAACATCTTTGTAAAGTCGACCGTTGCTAGATTGTTCGACTACTGCATGGATGCTACAAGGAATAAGCAGGCTGTTCTTTTGGCAACCTGTTTCAGGAATATATTAGGTGAGCATCTTTAAAAAGGGAAGATTATTTTATACCTATGGATGCTCCTGTGATTAATCACATAGGGTTTTTTTCAGTATACAATTCTAACATTAAAGCTCATAGAAATGAATATTGGTTTGCATAGGGTTCCACTATATTTCTACAGGTTTCTTAGTTTTTTGTGCAGTGGTTATGAAGAAATAACTACAACCAAAATTATTATTCTTCATTTATAGTAATTCAGTGATCTCAAACCAGTCTTACAGGAGGTCTGAACAGCATAACAATTTAATCCCAACTATGTCATGGTTCCTGGAGGTCCTGGGTACCATTTTACCTTAAGGGGATAAACAGCTTATGAATGGTTTAACCCCAGAGTTATAAAGACAGTGCCCATCAATTCTACCCCCTGATTTTATTGGTTGTCTGAGGCAGATGCTTCTAGTCTATCATTAGCTCTCTATTCACAAAACTGGGCAAGGAAGGTACATATGATCTCAGTCTATCAGTGGTGACCAATAAGCGGATTCCTCATTGAAACCTCAAATTTACCTCAATAATCAAGTGCCATTATGATTCTTTGCAAAATGCGCTGGCACTTCAACTATAAATGTAACTATGTTATTAATACTAACATTTTAATACAAAAGAACATGCTCATTTAGGTTTGCCAAATGTGCTTCATGTTATATTTATATGTTATACCGGATGGAAAGGAATCTGTCATCCATTTTACATACTATGTATCTCTAAGCCAATGATGACTAACATTGGCAATACCGATATTTGTTAATTAAATTCCCATGGTGCTCTGCGCCACTCTAAAAGTCAGCTCGGCATCATGGAAAGTGACATTCATCTCTAGAACATCTGCAGTGGGAAGTTGGCCATCTCTGCTCCTCGGAGCTATAAATCTAATTATTATGTAATATTTCCAAAGTCTATAACAAAAATCTTTCCTAACAAGGTTAAGATGGTTTGACTTTTACAAAAACAAAAAGATAAAACCCTGGATATGAAAGACCTTACAGACTTTCTGCAACAGCTTTAAAGGAAAATACCCCCTGGCTACCGTTAGATTTAGTTGATTTTCTTAATGTGAAATGACCGAGAACATGCATTAAACACTCCCACCCCCATAACAACTTACGCTTAGGAGGCAGGAGTGTCCAAACACAGTCTTACCTTTCGAGCAGGGATAGGCAGTCTTCAGCACTCCAAATGTTTTGGACTACATCCTCCATAATGCTTTGCCAGTCTTATGGCTGTAAGAGCATTAAGGGAGAAGTAGTCCACAACATCTGGAGTGCCGAAGGTTGCCCATCATCTGCTTTAAGGTAAGAATTGGCAATGGTTGAACTCCAAAGTTATGGCTCCAGTGCATGGCACTCCTGTCTCCTTTCTGCTGTGCAGTCGGGAGAGTCGGGTTGCCATTAATAAACAGAGGGTCAGCTGGCGCTTTTAGCCCATCAACTGGCTGTCACGGGTGGCGGTACGGAGACCGGGACCCCTGAGTGCTTGATGATGATGACGGGAGTCTCAGCGTGAAAAGAACGATCAGGGCCTGTTGCAGGGTAACCACACGCCCCCCGGGTGTTGAGCACCAGCATTTGTGCGGCCACATACCAGGTCGCTGATGCAGATTCTGCTGATCAAGAGCTAGGAGCTTGATGATATGCAGACCTCCCAGGAACTGGATAGGGGGGCCCTGCAGCAGATATGTATCATCTACAGAAACAAGGCAAGACTAGAACAGGCACTCAACAAGAAAACAAGACAAGACTATAAGAACCCAGAACCAGAGCAGGACAGAAAGCAGAACATGTGCACAAGACATGAGGGAAACATGAACAGGACAGGACAGGACTGTACATTAACTGGGAAGACAAAATAAAACAAGAGATGCAAGGCAAAACAAGAGGAGACATAACTAAGTACTATACATGTACAACATTGTAGATTTAGACATACATACTGTAAATGGTCAAGATGTATGCAGCCAACCACTGCGCCAAAGTACTCCAATTGCGGTAGGCCCTAACTGCCTAGATATGCATGACTAAATAAATAAAACACACAGCACTTACCTGCAAAGAAAGGAGCAGAGGTAATGAGACCACTGCTTGCAGGACCAGACAAACAAAAAAGGATTAAATGGCAAAGGAACAGGTTTGGCAACATTTACACAAGAATTGTTTAGTCTGAGAGCATCAGCTAATGCTCTTAACTTTTCAGCAACCACTGGCTATTCATTTCTAGTACTACAGTAGAGAGGAAAATAAGCTAGAAGGCAGCAGTGTCATGTACCGATGTAATAAATATGTATATGTTCCAGAGCCACAACTTTAGGGTTCAGCTGTTGTCAAAACAATGTAACATGTGAAGGTAAGAAAGCACCTGGACACTCATGAACCATAACTTAGTAAGCTAATGTTATTGGAGTGAGTTTCCATTTGCAAATTCATGCGCTTCGTAATTGCACGATTACATCCCCAATAAAAAAATATAAAAGAAAGCACCCATAGATTTCATCCCATCATTCTCAGCTATTCTCTTGGATAATGGAAATTGGAGTTTGATGCAAGAAGGAAATACCCAATTGGGCACCCCTGCTGTGGATTTTAAGCAACTCACATCTATCTGTGGAACTCCCTTCCCTCCTCCGTAAGATGCTCACCCAGTCTCCACTCCTTCAAAAACAACTGTGAAAACCCACTTTTTCATAAAAGTGTATCAATTAAACTGTTAATAGCTCCTGACTGATTCCTCTTCTGCAACTGTAACTAGTCTAATACTATCCTTACCTATTTGTGTCATTTTATCCCACTCCCTCTAGCATGTAAGCTCATTGAGCAGGGCCCTCAACCCCTCTGTTCCTGTGTGTCCAGCTTGTCTGGCTACAACTACATGTCTGTTAGTCCACACACTGTAAAGCGCTGCAGAATTTGTCGGCGCTATATAAATAATAATAATAATAATAATCTGAGAACGCAATAAAAAATTGTGGTGCAAGGTTTTACAGTATAGGCTTATAGTTCAAAAGACACAGAATATATTAGACTACAGCAATCAGGACTCTCCTACATAATGTTACATTCATATACATTATTTAAAAAGGGAACTGTAATTTCTGTGGAAATTAAATCATTTAACAAAACACTGAATATCACCTATAACTTGTGCTAGCCTTTTTTTCCTCGTGACGCTTCATCTTATTTTAAAATTATATTAGACTTCGTTTTCAGTCATTTTGAACCAGTGACACGTGCAGTAGGGAAGCAGCAAATGCCATGTTTAAAGGGCTGGCATGGTTGTTTGCTAAACTGTATCATGTCAAGAGAATTCTTATTTTTCAAATCAAAGAGCTGTACTGCTTGATATCGATGAGTAATTTAATCTCTCTGTGTTCTGCAACAGAAAACTCAAGACAGCCATTTACACAGTAGCACCAGTGAAGCTTTGGATATAGAATACACAAAGAAATCGCCTTAATCAGACCTACAGAAACGCAGAAAAATACTACTCTGTGTAGCAGCATCAATAAATTGTGAATACAAAAAACATTAAATACAGATAAAAAGAAAAACATGTCTCAGCAATTTTAGGTTCATATATGTTGCCTGAAATAGAATAAGAGATTGCAAAATTGTCAGGTGTCTCTACTGCTCTGGCTTTACATATAAAATGTATGGGTTTATTCACAATACAGATGATCAACGCAGTCTAAAAATGTATAATTCTCATTAGTACTTGCTATTCGTAATTTTATTTATTATTTTTTTAAAGTTCATAACCAAGAGGTTCTTTTTGCTTACAATTTGTCTTTTGTCAACCCACCACTCAAATGTAAGTGGTCAAACATCACTGTGCCCTTGGACTCCATATACCCTCCAAGGACCTGAGTCTATTGTTAATTGTCCTAAGGAGATGAGCTGGACCTGAAGAAAGGTCGACTTGGGACACAATGAGTAACTTCTTCACAAAGAGAATGATACATTTTTTTCCAAGGACAGTGGCTCTTAACATATGACTGAAGGAAAGTATATACCATTCAGCTATGTTATATCTACAGCGTTATACACTAAAGTATGAATTGCCAGGGATTTAAAGTGAATTTCAAAGTTTTAGCTCAAGTTAAAAAAAAAAATAGCTGACAAAGATCTCAATGAAGTGGTCTGGGTGCAGTGTCCAGGTCCTTTTAACACTGCAATGATGTAAAACATTGCATACAAAAAAAATAAAAAAAAATAAAACTGCAATACTTACATTGCAGGTTTAAATTCCTCTCTAGTGGCTATCTTCAGGACAGCCACTAGAGGCGCTTCAGTCACATGATGCAGATGGCCAATAGGAAAACAGAGTATAATGCTTTCCTAAAGGAAAGCTTGGATGCTTATTCAGCGCTCGCTGTACATTGTGCATTAGGTCTACAATGCTTTTTATGAGGAGCATTGGACTGGACCATCGCAGTGGTGGCCATGCTTTGTCGATGCCGTTGTGGGAGGCAGAGAGGTTAACAGCGCTGTGCAAACCTCAGCAGTGAAAAAAAAAGTTAAATAAAACTTTGATTGTATTAATTTTTTTTATGGCACACAGGGAGGAGGGTGGCATACATCTTTTGAACCAGGGCAGGGGTATTAGGTTTGTATTCTAAAAACCAAAGTGTTCCTTCCACATGTTGGCGATAACCCTGCAATACAAAAACCTTTCCAAAATAGTGGACACTCATAACACACAGTGCTAACTCCACATAAAGGAGATGAGCAGGAATCCTTATACGTTTGGCTGCATATTGTTGCAAATATGAACAACATTTTTTATTTTTTTTATTATTATTATTATTAAATAAAGTTAAATGAACTAGCCCATGCACTTACACTGGCCCTGAACAGTTTGATTACTTAGTACCCAGGAATTTTATTCTGCGGGTGCCTACAGGTAATGTGCAACATCCATCAAATAAGGCACCACTTGGCTCTACATGAAAATGCACCCGCAATCTATAATGACTAGGTGCCTTAATATGCCCTTTATTATGTGATTAAAGGTACAATGAGGTATTTGCACGACAAAAGACGGGAATATTGTTTTGCATCATTAAGCAGCCAGCGGCTAAAGATGAAATTGCCGGCAGAGAGCCAAATCCCTTAATGAAGAGAGGCTCTTTGAGTTATTAGAGGATGAAGGAGGGAATTCAAGCTAAGCACTGGTATATTTGATCCTCTTTGGCTGCCTGTAGACTACTAGGCTTGAGCACAGATTAACTTGTGCTTGGAAATTGCAATATACCAAAACTTTAGTACCCCAGAATGTGATACAGTCTCCTGTATTTGGGGCACAGACATAAATACATACACATATCTCCTCCATACTGCACACATGGTGACATAATCCATGCAATTATTCCCCATTATGAATTAACAAAAGGGCACAGACAATCTCCATACATTTCATGGCCCATAATATTGGGCAGATTTAGATGTACACCAACTGGTCTGCCTGAGATTAGTAGGAGTTACACTCCCAAGAAACATCACCACAAGTTAATAAAATGATGTTTTTAAAAACACAACATCCATAAGGAAGCGTTACGTAAGGAACTGTACCCAAGAGATTGCCACGATTCTCTGGCACTCATCAATCATGGAATACTCTCCCTGTAGACGTTGCAAAGCAAGTTTGACAAAGATGCCAGGACTTACAGAAAATGTTTTTAGTAGTCACCAAAACATATATAGTCTTTGATTTATTTCTTAAGTAATATTTATAAACCTCTAAATTACACAGACTTCTTTTTTAAATTCTATATGTTTGCTAAACCATATCTAAGGAGTGGCAATTAAGTAGGTAGTAGGTTGTTCTTGTAAGACACTTTGCCAAGCTGGCAATCAATTGGCCACCCCGCTTTGTATATAAGTGTACGATATAAAATTATTTAGGTTATACATCAGGGTACATGCAGTACAGGCAGAGGTCAAGGAGTGAGTAGGACAGAAGGATTTGGAAGTCAAACAATCCTTATCTACTGTCAGCATCTGGATTTCATGGTGACAACTGGGCGAGTCTCTACTTCGAGTAACATAAAGGGAAAAAACAGCTGGCAGATAATAGAAAATCAGATAATATATCATGGTTTATGCATGTGGGATAATGTGTAGACACACAGAATTTACTGGCACCAGCAGGATATACCACTTTCCAGCTGCTCTGAACCTTGCATCTCTTTACCTGTAGAACAAAGACAAACTTCACAAATTTCACATGGGCTAAAGAGAGACTTAGTAGGACACACATTAACATGGCTTAAGGTGACGAGAAGGTTGGAACCAAAACTAGAATAAAAAGGTATAAGGTAGGGAGACATGCTCCGTAATAAGACATCATCATCCGTGTTAGTGAATGAGTATGCTATGCCACAGAATTCACATCATGCCCAGCCAGCCAATAAACATAATTAACAGAGTCTGAAATTAATATATACTAACTTACACCTTTACAGGTGCATACTGGCAAAGAAGGAAGTTATCCAATAATATATATTAAACATATTAGTATATTATATTGATCTATCAAGATTTCACTGGTTCTACATTTATTTTTAATTTTTATTTATGACTTGCTCCAGTACAGAGTATTAGCAATATAAACAAAATTACATGGCAGAAAATCAGACAAGCATCATACAGTGCATTGCAGTGGTATAAAAAAAAAAAAAAAAAGACATCCAGAAAATATGTTTTTATGTTTAAAGGGACACTCTAGTCTCCAGAACCACTACAGCTTAATGTAGTGGTTCTGGTGTCTGTAGCCTGTCCCTGCAGCCTTATTGATTGATGACCTCAGCCACAGAGGTGAGACTAGAGTTAGACGCTGTCTGGTTTAGTAAATAACCCCCTTTGTTATCTTTCACATTGGTGAATTCTGAGCTTATTTAAAAGAAATATAAATAAATATGGGTCCAGCAGGCATTCAGTAGATCTGTCAATATTTTTCTCTCCTTGACAGAAGTTTAAAACTTGCATCTTAAAAGTGAATAATGTGCATGAACAAACCATGGCTTTTAAATTCCATTTCATTCATTTTTTTCTCCCATGAAAAAGTTAAGGTGTTAAATCAATGAAGTAGTCATGGTGCTTGAAATTAAGTGATCATAGTGTCTGAAGTCTGCATGTGTAGTGTTTCACACCTTGGCTGCCAGAGGTGTAACTACACTTCCAGTAGCATCATTACCCAGCCTGTCAATTCTGTGCAAACTTGGTGTCTGACGCCAGCACCCACAGCATGCGTGCCCCCTCTACTCTTCCCTCAGTCTGTCCTCCCTACCCTCCCTTCCCTTCTGGCGAGGGAGAGGGACGTCAGGCAAGGAAGGTCAGGCTACATTGAGAACTTGGACTCAACAATGTTGTAGCACATTTTTTTTTAAAGTTTATTTTGAGGAGGAGGACTCTCTCAGATAGGATTTTATGAAAACAGTTTTTTTGGCTGCAGTATCCATTTGCCAGCATGAAAACAGAAAGTCTTATAGGAGTCTAGTGAGAGTGTCAGGTGCAGAGGGGTTAATTCCACACACTGAAATTTATTAAAGTGAACTTTCATGTGAAAATAAACTCTCACCTCTCAAACAAAATTACACGTGCTACACAAATTACCCACAGTGATATATGTATAGCTAATTTGGTGATTGATAATCAAAAAAAGCATCCAGTGATTCCTAAATAAATAATGCGGAATAGTACGATTACCATGCTACTGTTTGGGATCCATACCAGACACCATAGATTTGGCATACTGTGAGATATCTCACTAGCGCCAGTGTAGGGGTGCATTGCTTATGAGTACCCACCTTTCAGGGTGGTTGATTTTTATACCGGTTTTAATTCTAAATACAATAAATACTACATATAGAGGGTTATTCTGGCTATGCTTTATTCTAAATGAATAGTATTTTTTTTTTTGCTTGATACATATTGCAGTGTGAAGGAACTTGTATGAATCTAAACAGTTGAGACGCTCACTTTTTTCAATGGTGCATAAACTGTTAAATTGTATTCAGGCATTGACGTCTTATGTTTGTTCTGCCTGATGCACTTCTGAGTCTGTGACTGTCTTCAGAGCCAGGCTGCATGAAAAGTTGGCAATGCTAAGGGCTCACCATTACGACAGACATGGTTTGATCTTAACACTAGGATTCACAGGGACAATGAGGACACCAAGCCTAATGCAGAAGGCACCACTGTGAGCTGGTCTCTCAGGTGGGAAATAGGCCAAAATGCCTCACTACCCTCCTCTAAGCAAAATCCTGGCACGAACACTCCACTGTTATACACAGAATGGAGTATTCAGCAGGATCTCAATAAAGCAAAGCTTTCGTAGACCGTAGAGTCGCTGAATTACCTCTCAAGAGCCAGCAAAAAATAAATAAAATGGAGATGCACATGTATTTCAAATCTACTTATATGAGGAATGACCACAAAATAAAAATTACTTTTCATAAGTTGCAATGAAAGTGAACATTTATTTAAAGACACAGGCTAGTAAATTGCAGTGGTTATGATGCCTGCAGGTTTGCGGGTGCTGGGTCCATACTAATGATTTGACCATAATGCATGGTCCCAAAAGCACTTGCCACTTACATATTGGCAATATCAATATCAGCCATATTTGGATGGCAGTGAGGCTGAGCACATCAGTCATGTTACTAACATCTACAATACATTTTCACAATTTGTTATGGAAACTGAGTTTTAATGCCAGTTTGGGGTTTATTAAATGGACACTTCAGGCACCCAGACAAAAATAAAAGACAAAAATAAAGGTTAAGTCCTCCTCTAGTGGCTGTCTACCAGACAGCCACTAGAGGGTCTTTCGTGTTCTTAGAAAATTAAAAGTGTTTTAAATGACGATGGACTTCCTCAAGTTATGCATGGGGATTCCAGCGTCGCCGGAATCCCCATAGAAAAGCATTGAATAATGCTTTCCTATGGGGAGGTTTAATGCGCATGCACATTAGGTCTCCCCCGCCGGCTGACGTCGGCGGGGTAGGAGCGTGGGCGGAGCCTGACCCAGCACTGAGGGACATTGACGCTGGATTAAGGTAAGTCACTAAAGGGGTTTTAACCCCTTCAGCAACATGGGATGGGGGGTGGGAGGGTGAGGGGCACTGAAGGGTCCTACAGTGCCAGGAAAAAGGATATGTTTTTCTGCCGCTGGAGAGTCCCTTTAAAGAACACTATAATGTTGGGAATACAAATCTGCATACCAAATATTTTAGTGTCCTTACCCCGGCAAATAAAGGGTTAATAACCCCATTTTCACTTACCAAATTCCAACACTAATATCCCTCGGCATTGTGTCGGACTCCTTCTCAATCGACATCATGGCGATTTGGGAATCTAATGTGCGTGTGCAGCAATAGCTCCACGCACCCTTCCCCTTAGGAAAGCATTGACTCAATAAGGTTCTTCAAGACGCTGAACATCCTTATGCAAAGTGTGAGACAGTCTAATGTCATGTGATCAAGTTAAACTCCATGAAACTGCAGGATACACCTGTAATGGCTGGTATACAGCAACTAGAAGCAGACTAATTATGCAATGTAAAACATTGCAGTTTTAGAGAAACTGCAATGTTTGTTGGAATAAGGGGGACAGGGGCACTGCACCCAGACTTCAACAAGTTGAAGTGGTCTGAGTGTCTTTAGTGCAACTTTTAACACTGCAATGCAATGTAAAACATTACAGTTTTAGAGAAACTGCCAAAATTACATTGCAGCACTAAGACTGTCTCTAGAGGCACTTCCAGGAGTTTTATGAAATTTGACCCTTTACGACGGTGGGGCTTGGGGGCTGAGGAACACGTTAGTGTTAGGAATACATCTTTGTATTCCCAACACTAAAATGTTCCTTTAAGGTACATGGATAAGTCCTATTGTATCCATTTAACTAAGCAGTAAATAGTGACTAAACTTGACTTTGGGCATTTTTCTCAAATCATGGCTCAAATTTTGCAATTCTGTTTTCAGTTACCTTAATAAGTGAATAGACCCCTTAGACTTACATATGTCTGGAAACAGTAAGTCAACATTGTTTCTCTTTCAGCCACTGCCCTCTAATGGCAAGATTAAAAATTACACTGGAAGGAAGAATTCTCATTCTGAAATAAGAACCTTCCTTGTCATTTTAAAGGGCTGAAAACCAAAACATTTCAATCATAATGGGTTTTAAACTGGTGCAATTTTCAATTCTGCTAATAGTTAATGTTCAGAAAATCTTACAGCTAGGATATTTATATAAAGGGAGCGTGTGTTTTAGCATTAAGAAATTCCAGCATCGTTCAATCCAATATTATATTAACACAAATATTTAAAGAGAAATGCACTCTGTTTGCATCATTTGACAGTGAAAGTGTTACATACTAAAAATGGCAGCCTAGTGGCAATCTGTCATGCTAAAAAATAGAGGCAAATATCTGTGGGGCTTTGACTTGATTTTGCTTCCTAAGCATTGATTACCCATATGCAGCCTTATAGTTGTTAACTATACCAATGTTGAACACGTGCAAAATTCTACTTTAAACCTAATGTTGAACACATATGAAGAATTCTACCTTAACCCCTTAAGGACCAAACTTCTGGAATAAAAGGGAATCATGACATGTCACACATGTCATGTGTCCTTAAGGGGTTAAACCCGTGCACAGGTCTTAGGATGCCTATGAGGTCACTCGCATGTGTTAGTTACATTTCAAAGAGAAATACATCTGTCTGATAGAACAGCATCTTCAAAGATCAGTAGTCCAAGAAATTTGCACTAACCTATTAGAATGCATGTGTAGCATCTACTGTGCCTTTAAAGCATCCCGCATTGGAGAGAGAGAGGTTGCTGTTGGTTAATCACACAATACTTTGTTTGCCAAGGGCAAAAATGAGTAGGGATCTTTATCTTAAATTAGATTTTTTAGGAAACCACTTACTTTTTCTTTGAGGGTAGAGATTATTTGCAAAAACGGGATAATTTACAATAGACTGAATTGTGAGATAGGAAGACTTAATGTGGAAAAATTAAGATCAGAACAGCTGGATACATTCTCTAATTAAGATAGGTTTTCCAACGTAGCTACCATGGCCCAACTTTTACAATGTGGTTATCAATTCACTTTTTAGTGAATGAATAACTGGGACACACACGCACACACACACACAAAAAAAAAAAAAACTTGTTAATTGCAATATTTGTTTATAGTTTGAGATAGATACCCCCAAAGCATAATGAACTGGCACCCTCCATTGGTTTTAAGCGCGTTAGCTAATGGGAGTTGTAGTCTATTAGTCTGTATCATCAGGTAAGACCAAGGCTGATTTACCAAGATAGCAATCCAAAGAATGACAGCCAAGTCAAAACATAACCATGATATAACATACACATAAGTTGTGAATAATTTGACAATCTTGAACATGTCAGTTTGGTCCTGCAAGTCTTTATCTAACAGAAACTGCCAACAAATGCTGTGAACATTCAACAACCCTTAAAAAAAAAAAAAGTGATTGTCCTACATTATAATGGATGTCTATCAAAATTACGCTTTCTTTTTAAAATGGTCAAATGCAGAATGCCTGCACCCTCCTTGGGGGCTTATTCACTAAACTGTGTTCATGGTGAGCTGACTACCAAGTTACAAAATAAAAGCCAACATGGCCAAAAGTTGGAGGAAAAGAAAAATTTCAATATTGCTTGAATTAAAAAATATGTTGACCAACATCTTTGAAAATAAAGTACGGACACCCTGCAATTCACCATTTAGTGATTTATCTAGTGCATCAATAAACACAGCCATCTAACCAATCAATGCTAACTTTCCAAATACAAAACCTAACCACAAGTAATTTCTGCCAAAACAACAGTTACCCTATTAGAAATGAGATAAAAAAATACTGTAATAACCAGGTGTTAATGCATTGTAAGATGCTTGGGTCCTTAAAGCATCTTGAGGTTTGAGATGCATAGAATAGCCTTCTGGCAGAGAAGGTAGCAACTCCAACAATAAAAAAAGTTCAAGAACATTTGGGACAGACAATGCTATCGGACGCAACAAAGCAACTAATATATATTGCCTGTGGGTTTTTTTAAATTTTATTTTAAGACAGCTAATGATCAAATGAAACGTGTCAAATGGCTTCCTTCTTATGTCAAAATCTATATTTTTGAATACTTATTGCTTGAATTTTTAAAGCGCAGTTGGACATAAATCCCATCTGAAAATGTTAATGTAATGATGTTACCTGGCAAACTTCATATAATAATCTGTATTCCTCATCTGGTCTCCGCAGGCTGCATAAACTGCATCCCATTTTTAACAAATCTCTTCCTGATGAAGCAGAGGTTCCGCTTTGACATAAAGGTTCAGTTATCCTGGACAGCAGCAGAGTCCGGGGACCAGTCACATTGGCCTTGCTCAGTTGGCTGACAGAATGCAACTGTGCCTCCTCTGTGTGTCTGCTTCTTCCCTCTGTACACAGCCCTCCCTCTGCTGCAAGACTCCGGCTGCTGTGCGATGGTCCAGTGTACACACTAACTACAGACTCTCATGCATATTAATAAGATCTCATGGACCATTCAGATTAGACAGTGATATACAAGATATAATTGCTGACTATGACAGAAAACATCCCTCTTATTAACAAGTCAGTTGTTCTCAAACAAAAAACGTAATAAAACAAAACACCAAAATCAGTATCCCAATTGTTTTTATTTATTTATTTATTTAAAGGATTTTCCTGAGACTTCATGTAATCTCAGCTAGAAGAGATTATACAGTATGTAACTCAATGAGGATCAGACAAGGTTTAATTTATAAAAGAATCCAGTTGCTCAGAGATATGGACAGTGCCAGGCCTAATCAACCTCAGGCAGCACAGCTGCAACAGACTAACTCCTATTACACTCAGCCAGTTTGAATTGATTCAGTGCCGGGAGTCTATTTAACCTCTACACTAAAGTAATTCAAAAGTGCTTGGTGTTAGTGGTAAGCAATCTATGGTACACACCAGGCCAACATTGAAGTGGATAAACTCTAGGTTTAAAACAATTCACGTTAATCATATTTAAGAGAAGATGGCAGATCAGTTATCTGAATAGGAGTGCATCCAAGATGGATGGATGGTGTCACTAAACAGTGGATTACGGAGAAATAAAAACTGAATTGCAAAATGTACACCAAAATAATTTACTTCTTAGTTCTCTCCCCCACGTATTACATTGAGAAATTTCAGCCTAGTTTTTGCAACTAGATTTTCATTTTAACACAATTCCCTATTTGGCAAATTAACCCTAAAGGAATAGACAAGAGAAAACACAAACAAATAGATGGACGATACCAATGTTGTATGTGATACGTTGTCAATTTGCTTTTTAGATTTGCATCTATATTCTTTTTCACGTGGATGACATTTGACATATTCTGTCTTTTTAGAGTGACAGATAGATTAAAACCAAAATAGATTGATGGACTGATAGACCTATAGGCAGGAACCATAGAGAAAAATGAGGGTACAGGAAAATATAGACAGGCAGGTTGGATACAGAGTCATAAATAGAACAATAAATGGAACAATAAACTGACAGATAGGGCACAGCGTAACGATACAAATATATCTGGTTGTACATTTTCACAGTAGGACAATTTACTTGTTCTTGCATATGACACATAGAACCAAATGCTTAGAATCCTGTATTCTTAGGCTTGATTGTTACGAACCACTAAAGCAAGCAAGAAAATAAGAAGTAGATGGGGTAACAGCCAGAAAGACAGGACACAAAGATAAGATCAGATAAAGAGAGCCATATAGACAGACAGACAAATGTAGACAAGGCCATAAATAGATGGATTTGTGGAGCTAAAGACAGACAGGACCCAGAGACAAATATAGAATACAGACAGACATAAAGACAAATAGGACACAGAGGGATAGACAGACATATGGATGACAGATGTATTAATAAACAAATAGATGGAACACAGAACAATAAACAGCTATACATGTAAATAAAATGATACATAGAGTGATAGATAGGCAGGATAGATATGCCATAGACAAAATATGAAGCAACAATGCAACTCTGGAGTCGAGTAAAACAAAAGAAAGCTTCTACAGAGTTGGACTTCATTAATGATATAAGACCCCCATACACATGCCATTGCGGTTTCTATGAGAAAACCAGATTAATCTATGAAATTGGTAATTCCCCGGCTGTCTAGATTTACTCCATTCGATTCCCTTTTCCTTTACTACAAGACAATGCTGGGTCATACACATGGCCAGTTGGTTAGGTGTGATCATACATACAAAGTTGACAAATACACAATTATGGTAATTCCAAATGTTTAGCCACAAGCAATATGGGACTCATTTTAGATTTTCATAGTAAGATGTTTTGCCTGTCCTACGTACAAGATAAAGACCCAAAGGGGTACTTCAAATTATAGATTGTGTTCTGTTTAAGAATATCGAAGGAAAGTAAGGTATTGTAACATATGGATTTCTGAGGACAATAGAATACAATTTGTTATAGCCATCAAAACTTTCAGAAGGGTGGAATGCCTGAAGCAAAAGATAAACATGAATAAAAAGTCAATGGGTTTAAATGGCATGTTTTTCTTTCACATAGAGGAATTGAAGGAAGACGACTATGTGTAACACTGACTGAGAACGGAGAGATGAACAAGTTTCATTGAACATATTTTTGAGAACATAAAAATGGTGTAAGACCGTAACAGAGCCTCAGGACACAGGAGTATCTACTGATACAATAATGTTTCTCTAAAAATACTGCCAGGTTCGAAGGCATGTTTGTTTTGAAGACAAACAATGAAAGTCATTCTCCCTCGGAATCTCTTAATTAAACCCACTTTTCCCGAGTATATCTCTGTGGTGTGCTTGCTTGTCCTCTACGGATTTTGGCAGGTACAGTCCTCTTTACATGTAGCTAATGAGATCACAGTAGATGGTTAATTAGGAGTTGCAGAGTACTAGGATCGGATCAGTGCGAGCGATAGAAGATACAGTAGGTTTATGTGCACTGACTCCTTGTGTACGATAATGATCTGAAACTCATCACAAACCAAGCAACTTTTCTTCCTAAATGGCTCCAATAAATATTTGAGGAGCAGATGGAGGTGCCAAACAGCTTCCACACACTTCGTGGCTTTCGACTCATCAAGGCAGAGGTTTTTCTTACTAATTGGCTGTTTCTTGAAATGCTGTACAACAGGGCATGACAAAAACACCACAGGAATATAAAATGGTAGCCATAAAATTGTCGTTTGTCACCCGTAGTGTGCACAGAAACACAGATTGTCTACTCATTTTGTTATAAGTGTTTATAAGTGAATTTATTCTGAAATACTGGTTTGCACTGCTTTAGGCCAAGACTCCTTTCATTCTCAGCTGCAGTAGCGGTACTCTTAATGGGTTAAGATGTAAATGATCTTTAATTGCTCAGAAATAAATGTTTTCAACTGTACAGAGAACAGATCATAAGAGGGGAAATAGGAGGTATTATGGAAGCACCATAGGGGGAAAAATAGCAATGAACATTCTAATCGTTGGTGACCGATTATATTAAATATGTTTTGCAGTAATCTTAAAGGGACACTATAGTCACCAGAACAACTACAGCTTATTGAATTTGTTCTGGTGAGTAGAATCATTACCTTCAGGCATTTTGCTGTAAACACTGTCTTTTCAGAGAAAATGCAGTGTTTACATTACAGCCTAGTGATACCTCCGCTGGCCACTCCTCAGATAGCTGTTAGAGATCCTTCCTGGGTCATGGCTGCCTAAAATGCATCCAGACATTGTGTCTCCTCCCTCTGCATGCAGACACTGAACTTTCATCATAGAGATTCATTGATTCAATTCATCTGTATGAGGAGATGCTGATTGGCCAGGGCTGTGTTTGAATCATGCTGGATCTGCCCCTGATCTGCCTCTTTGTAAGACTCAGCCAATCCTATGGGGAAGCACAGTGATTGGATCAGGCTACCACTTCTGATGATGTCAGCAGACTGCTTGTTTTTTTTTGTTTTTGTTTTTAGGCAAACAGCATGCAGATCTACAGCTTCAGGCTTGAATACAGTAAGATTTTGCTATATTTATGGAGGCATGAGGGGCCCAGGGGGGGCTAGCTGGTGGTGTTAACACTATAGGGTCAGGAATACAGGCTTGTGTTCCTGACCCTATAGTGATCCTTTAAACTATTATTTAGCACGATCTAAAAACTACCAGATGAATTGACCAATTCATCAGCGCTTTCAAATCATAGTAAGTGTTCTTAAGGCTTTAAAGGTGGATAGATTATGAGGGATCAAACATCAATATTTAAATTACTCTCATCCTGCAACATTTTATACATGAGCATATATACACAGTTCTGAATTAATTTGATAAATTTGCCTTAATTTGAAATTCTTATCTGAAACCCTGTAGAAAACCCTGTAAATTCATCTAGACAAGGTTATGCCAATAGGTGATTTTCCAGTTAATGTTGAACCACAAATACAAGGAAGCCCAGCAAGGCTACAGATGGCCAAAGATTCTTAGAGAATCATGGGAGCTGTAGTTTAACAACAACTGCAGGGATACCACTTGGTTCCCCCTGGTCTAGATATTTCCCTCTGTTTTTTCTTTCCACAAACTCATGTGCAATAGTCCAATGCACCCAGCATCCTTATTATCTTGTTTTAATTACCTTTCCAATTCTGTCCCCTGCTACTTCAATCTACTGATCCAACTTATTCTGTAGGGCTGTACAATCAGTAAACAGAACATACGACTAGATGTTCACGATACAAGTTTGTACCTATTGGAATGTACTGAAGTGCACTATTACAATTGCACTCCAGGTTAGTAGCCACAATCCATTCTATTAGCCATATGGATCCGCCTGATAGATGGATTTATCCTAAACGAAAGAGAGCACAAAACAGACTGGGGCAAAATTTTACCCCCGCTCCCTATACTGGAATGGTCATACGAATGGTCATTGGTGGAAGGTACAACTGCCCGGACACAGCTTTTATGCACGAGTAACTTACGTCACAATTAAATCAGCAGGTTGGGAATGTCCAAAGGCTGCAAAAGAATTTATGGAAATGTAGTCCTAGTACAACTGTGTGCCGAAGTTGGTCAATCCTACTACACACAAAAAAATAAAAAAATAAAAATAAATATATATATATATATATATATATATATATCCACAGAACATTAGCACAGAGCAACTCCTAAAAACAGCACCGTGCTTATGACCTGTAAGTACACAAATGGCTAATAGACCCACAGAAGAAGATCTTGTAATTTAATAGCTGGAAATATTATTGGTTAAGATCCTAATTCCACCTGCAATTATAAGGGGGACTGTCGCACAACATGCATCATTGCCAACATACATGGCCTAAAACGCAAGGGTAGGCAAACTTCAGCACTCCAGATGTTGCAAATTACAACTCTTCTGTATTATGGCTGTATAAGCTGTATAAGTCCAAAACCTCTGTAGTGCCAAAGGTTGCCACTCCCTGGACTAGAGGTATGTACAAAAAGGGACATGTCATGCCAGTCAACTTGGCATAAATATACCAAATGAGCTGTAGCGATGGCTGCAAATAGCTTCTCAGCCATGAAGTGGCTGTAGCATCGGATCAATCTGCCCACTTTCCAAAATACTTCAGAATACAAGGCTCAAGCAGCATCGGGCAAGGAAAAGCGGTCAGCTGATGCTTAAGCAAATTGGTAGCTACTTATTCATTTTAAAAAAACAGCCTGAAATATTGCCACCATAACAACTTTATTTTTATGAAGTTGTTATGGTGCCCGGAGTATTCCTTTAAAAGCTCTACATTCATTTTTATTTGTACAATAAAATGAATGTTGAATACATAATTCATTTATTTCTCGAGAAAGAACAAATATAAAAGCATATATTTTGCTCAGTCGAGACATGGAAGTGTATAATTATCAAGGCATAAAACAAAAAGAGCCATTATATATTTCTATGGAGACTGTTGAAGTGCTTAAAAAGTATAAATAAATGAAAAATACATTTCTTAAAACAGAACCGCGCAAATTAGGAACCATAGCACCTAAATATTATTTACTGCTGGCTCCATATTTGTCATTTGACTTCTATTTCAGGAGACAGACAGACCTATTGTAAGACCTAACTTCGAAGCCAAGGAAAAGAATATCCATAGAGTTCTATAATAATTTTTAAACTTGCAAAATTTCAGGTCTTGTGGTAAGTTAACATGGCCCCATCTACAGCTTCACAACATGTAGATTTAAAAGGGTGTCTATGATAGATAAGAATTGCAAATCAATTCAACCCAAACACAATCAGGTTCTGGGAACTGTATGGGTTTCTGCACTGGTAAATGTCGTGCTGGCGCTGTACGAAGGAGGACTTGAAATCAGATTTCATTAAGAACACATTGATAATAGAGTCACTTTAAGCAAGATGTACATTCACCGCTAAGTCCTAATGAGAGAACTTGACATGGCTTGAATACACTGATGGATTTAAAGGAGCTCTCAGTTGTGTTCAAGTGAACTTTTAACCCTCTTCTCCTCTTAGGGAAAAACGCCAGCCAGGAATTTTCAGCCCAATCTAATATTATTTTTGCCCGTATACTTTCAATCTTTGTAAGCTTTCACTAGAAGACAGTATATAGTGTTAAATGAGTCATTTAGTGGCAAAAGAATGGATGTTTGTTGAGCAGTTAAAACCTTTCGCTATTGTTCAGCTTAATGCAACACTAATGCAATTACTAACTGCATTTGGGCACATTTGAAAGCACAGCAGCTGATTCTACCCAATGAATCTTCCTTTCGTGAGTTACATGGAGAGAGCACAACAGATGAAGAGGTAAGAGTGACAGTGAGCAAGGGAAAGGATGAAAAGAAAAAGATCATTAGACAGAACAAGAATAAAGTATGCAGGAGAATGAGGGTTTGTTCTAAAGAGAGAGGGGAATGGAGGGATTGGAAAGGGGTGGGGTGGGGGGGGGGGACCAAGAGCCTTTGGGGTTTTATTCACTAAACAGGGAATTGTGAGGAAAAAAATGTTATGCCCAAATAGGCCATATTAGAACATTTTCCCAACTCAGAGTTTTCCGTTTGGCTACTATGGCTTACAATTTGCTACCCTCTTGTAAATGTTCCGCCGTTTCTAACCCTGTTAGAGTGAGCAAAAGAGAGCAATCATTAGATGGGGGTAAATTAGGATGTCGGAAATGAAAGATTGATAGGAACCGGTCTGCAGATGTGGGAGACAGCAAGAAAGTTATAGAGCTTAGTACTACGGAGCAGTTATTATGACAAAGGTTACTACAGTATAGATGAAAAGCAAAATACAACCAGAAGCTATTAAAAAAAAAATAAGGTAATAGAGAACAATATAGCACTAAGACAATGCAGTGGTGCCTGTGAGTAGCAGATGTGGGTAAATCAGTAAGAAACTGTGGTTCGGATAATGGAGATACAGTAATGAGAACCTATTCAGGTCACAACAGGAATAAGACTAGATCACTACCAATGCAAGAAGCATGCTGTGGTTATGGTGCTACCTGCAGAGTACGGTTAGCTGATAAGGTCACCACACAGCTAGCTAGTATGCAGTTTGTATTGGGTAAAAAAAAACCCCCAAAAAAACAACTTGGGTTTGGGGGAAGTGGCAGGGGGGAAATATTCAATTAAATAGGCTTAAAACCAACTAGACAATATTTGGCCAAATTGGACAATTTAGTAATAAATACCCTTTAAGCTGCCAGCACAAAGCAAATCCCTGTTTAGCCAATATACCCCTGTATGTAAAAACCACACACAGGTGTAATACGGCTAATCCTGCGGCAGCTGACAACAAAGGACAAGGAAGATCACAGCGGGAGTAAATTTATTTACTTTGGAGAAATTAAAATCGGAGCTTAGGTCTGGTAGAAAAAAAAAGTCAGCTGTCACTCATCCCTACGGGGAGCCAATGGCATATGCTTGCCATTTCCAGGATGGATTTTATATTGAGCCGCAAAAGAAAAGGCACATATTAAATATGCTTTCAATATATTTACAGCAAATTAAACACTACTCACACTATTAAATCGTACATCTAATAAAGCGGCTCTGGGATTTTTTTCTTATTTTTTTTTTTTATTGTCCCCCGCAAAGCTATGTCTTTCTATTCCCCCTGTGTTTTTGTGGCACAGGTTCCCTTTAACAAGCTCTTTCTTTATTTGAACTGGATCTTCTTCCCATCAGCGCCATGTTCAGAAGCCTGGCTGTGATGTACTGTCACTGCCTTCTTCTGCCTTTCCTTTTTTTCTGATCTTGCAAATGATTGTATGAAAACTATGTAAACACTCACCGCTTATGTCCAAGAAGCAGAACGCAAATATAATTGTACAAATGAGGTTGGGGGAGGACAGAGGGTAGATTGCGAGATTCTAGAGGATAGACAAAATGGGCAGGTAACTTCTGGGAAAGTGAGAATTGACAAAGTGTAGTTTGCCTTAAAGGATCACTACAGGGACAGGAACACAAACATGTTTTACTGACCCTATAGCGTTAAAACCACCATCTAGCCCCCCTGGCCCTTTCTTGCCTCCTTAAATATAGTAAAAGCTTACTTGTATTCAAGTCTGCAGCTCCTGGCTCTGCCCCTGTTTTCCGGTCAACTGCTTCTGTCTGCTGACATCAGAAGTGGTAGTCCAAGCCAATCACAATGCTTCCCCATAGGATTGGCTGAGACTGACAAAAAGGCAGATCAGGGGCAGAGCCAGCATGATTCAAACACAGCCCTGGCCAATCAGCATCTCCTCATAGAGATGAATTGAATCAATGAATCTCTAGGAGTAAAGTTCAGTGTCTGCATGCAGAGGGAGGAGATACTGAATGTTTGGATGCATTTTAGGCAGCCATGACCCAGGAAGGATCTCTAATAGCCATCTGAGGAGTGGCCAGTGAAGTTATCACTAGGCTGTAATGTAAACACTGCATTTTCTCTGAAAAGACAGTGTTTACAGCAAAAAGCCTGAAGGTAATGATTCTATTCACCAGAACAAATTCAACAAGCTGTAGTTGTTCTGGTGACTATAGTTTCCCTTTTTATCTCCACCCTTGGTCAAGATTTGTCATGCTTAGGAAAAATAAATAAGACAAAGTCTATTCTATTTTACAAGAAAAAGATCAGACATGAAGAGAATAAGAACAGATTCAGAGCGAGGAGGAGAAGAGATAACAATTGGAGAAAGGTAAGTTTGGAGTGACAACACTGATATAAATATAATACATAGTATACGAAAACAAGCCAACAATTATATTAACAACCAATACAAAGAAGCAAAGAATGCTTTTTTACTTCATTTTATTAGTATCTTTCTCAATGGATAAAGTTCTGAAAGAGGTCAGACAGGAGATGGGATGGAATCTCTGAATTCTAATATTTGGTGATGTTGCCCTCGATGTCCAAATACATTTGTGACCTCTGGTTTATAAGACTTTATAATTTTGTCTATTCAGCTATTAATATAACCGTTTCCAAACATCATTGTTGCATGACTTATAAAATTTTCTCTCCTTTCAATCTGTGATTTAGAATATAGCTACATACACCGCTTCAGGTATTGGTGGGTCCACTGGTTACTGTTACAATAGCAACTAGAAAAGTTACAATTTCTGGGGAAATTGTGTGAAGTGTTCTTTCCTCCACCTGTAGTCTACAACTGGAGTGGGCGGAGTAACTGTTATCATTTACATAGCACATTTAATTGCAACGTTGTTGCACAGTTACATTAAACCATACATTTATAAAAACATTAGCAGGTGTTCAAAAGGCCCTGTCTATGACATCACTTGCTGCTGCAGCTTGACACAGGTCAGAGTATTTTGGTGGTTGCCATCTTCAAACGGTCGTATCTTAAAAACTATAACTCCTACAGTGAAGAGCTTTATATTGTGAGAATCACAAGACCCAGACCTACATTTTGATGCATAGTATGTCTCTGAAGTATTAAAATTGAAGGCACAGTCGCAGTTTAGAAATTGCACTTCAAATTTGAGTTTTGCAGAGTGAAGTTTCAATGAATGTCAATGGACGGCGTTGGTTGCAAACAAATGGTCATATTGTGAAAACTATCAGAACTACGGCTTAGCCGTTGACATGTTTAGTGGCAGCAGGGATAGCTGAACGTTTTGATATAAGATTTGTGTAGGTGGGCTTGAAAATGAGGGAGTGGTGGCAGTTTAGAAATCATGTCCTGATTTTTCAGCTTTTGCCAGCTCCCACTCTAGCTTTGCCATTCATTCCTATGGGACAAATTGCGCCACAAAAACGACGATATTCCGTGAACCATTCGGCGAAACGTTCCACAAAGTAATAGCAATCCGATCGGGAACAATCTGCACGTTTTGGTAAATTTTGGTCTATGTAGCGTAAAAACTGTGGGAGGAGTTAGGGTGGCAAATTTTGCTATAATAATAATAATAATAACTAGAAAAGCTACAATTTCTGGGGAAATTGTGTGAAGTGTTCTTGCCTCCACCAGTAGTCTACAACCGGAGTGGGCGACGTAACTGTTATCATTTATATAGCACATTCAATTGCAACGTTGTTGCACAGTTACATTAAACCATATATTTATAAAAACATTAGCAGGTGTTCAAAAGGCCCTGTCTATGACATCACTTGCTGCTGCAGCTTGACACAGGTCAGAGTATTTTGGTGGTTGCCATCTTCAAACGGTCGTATCTTAAAAACTATAACTCCTACAGTGAAGAGCTTTATATTGTGAGAATCACAAGACCCAGACCTACATTTGGATGCATAGTATGTCTCTGAAGTATTAAAATTGAAGGCACAGTCGCAGTTTAGAAATTGCACTTCAAATTTGAGCTTTGCAGAGTGAAGTTTCAATGAATGTCAATGGACGGCGTTGGTTGCAAACAAATGGTCATATTGTGAAAACTATCAGGACTACGGCTTAGCCGTTTACATGTTTAGTGGCAGCAGGGATAGCTGAACGTTTTGATATAAGATTTGTGTAGGTGGGCCTGAAAATGAGGGAGTGGTGGCAGTTTAGAAATCATGTCCTGATTTTTCAGCTTTTGCCAGCTCACACTCTAGCTTTGCCATTCATTCCTATGGGACAAATTGCCACAAGAACGACGATATTCCGTGAACCATTCGGCGAAACGTTCCACAAAGTAATAGCAATCCGATCGGGAACAATCTGCACGCTTTGGTAAATTTTTGTCTATGTAGTGTAAAAACTGTGGGAGGAGTTAGGGTGGCAAATTTTATAATAAGAATAATAATAATAACTAGAAAAGTTACAATTTCTGGGAAATTGTGTGAAGTGTTCTTGCCTCCACCAGTAGTCTACAACTGGAGTGGGCGGAGTAACTGTTATCATTTATATAGCACATTTAATTGCAACGTTGTTGCACAGTTACATTAAAACCATACATTTATAAAAACATTAGCAGGTGTTCAAAAGGCCCTGTCTATGACATCACTTGCTGCTGCAGCTTGACACAGGTCAGAGTATTTTGGTGGTTGCCATCTTCAAACGGTCGTATCTTAAAAACTATAACTCCTACAGCTAAGAGCTTTATATTGTGAGAATCACAAGACCCAGATCTACATTTTGATGCATAGTATGTCTCTGAAGTATTAAAATTGAAGGCACAGTCGCAGTTTAGAAATTGCACTTGAAATTTGAGCTTTGCAGAGTGAAGTTTCAATGAATGTCAATGGACGGCGTTGGTTGCAAACAAATGGTCATATTGTGAAAACTATCAGGACTACGGCTTAGCCGTTTTCATGTTTAGTGGCAGCAGGGATAGCTGAACGTTTTGATATAAGATTTGCGTAGGTGGGCTTGAAAATGAGGGAGCGGTGGCAGTTTAGAAATCATGTCCTGATTTTTCAGCTTTTGGCAGCTCCCACTCTAGCTTTGCCATTCATTCCTATGGGACAAATTTCGCCACAAGAACGACGATATTCCGTGAACCATTCGGCGAAACGTTCCACAAAGTAATAACAATCCGATCGGGAACAATCTGCACGTTTTGGTAAAATTTTGTCTATGTAGTGTAAAAACTGTGGGAGGAGTTAGGGTGGCAAATTTTGCTATAATAAGAATAATAATAATAATAATAATAATATATATGTGAGATAACATTAAGTGGTCTTGCTATGCAAGAACACTTAATAATAATAATAATATATATGTGAGATAACATTAAGTGGTCTTGCTATGCAAGAACACTTAATGAAGAGTACATGCTCTTTAACAAGGATGCATAAATTAAAAGTATATAATATTCAATCACATACACAATTTGTGGGAACATATCTATATAGTACCTTTCTTTGCGGTTTTCTTACAGGATTCCATGGCGTGGCACTGAAAAGTGCTTATTAGTGTTCATTGACAAAGGTAAGATCATTAATTGAATTGGTGACATCAGGGGTTTCACAAACCATGCCTGGAACTCTGTATCCCTTGCCAGTTGGTAAACTGTAATTCGTTTTAGTGATGGTAAAATAAATAAATGAATTCATTTCTAACCTGTAACACATTTATTTTTTTTTAAACAAGGCAGGACTTAATTTCAAGAATAAATACTTCTAGTTAAATAATTTCAGAAGCATATTATTTTTGTATAAGCAATGTTTTACTTTGCAGTGCTGGCGAAGATATGGTCATTAACGTAGAGCTGTATTTTTGCCCAGTACAATGTTTCTCAGAGAAGAGTACTGGAGATATGGGTTAATGAACAGCAATTTCATCACTCTACTAATCCAATGAAGTGGCATTAGATGTGTTTGTCATTGTTATGCTGTGTGTGATGACCCCAAACGTGGAGACCTTTGGACATTGAAGGAGGATCAAGTGGCTGTTTGTCTGAAAGCCACAAGAGGTGGGTTTTAGTCAAAATGCAAACATTGCCATTTCTCAGAAACAGCAATGTTTTACATTGCAAGAAATAAATGGAAAAAAAAAAAACGCATCCATGTAACAGAACTACTACAGTGAATCTGCAACAGTTTGATTTCTTACTTGGGTCCACCAGACATGGCCCCTGCCTGGTCTACATCTCAGTGAGAGCCTGAATCTACGGTATCAGCTGGTCACACTCAGCCAATGATCTAAGCCCTGCATTGCAGGATTTAGCTCAGGGAAGAGATTTAATGGGAGACAGATTTAAATTAAATCACCCGTGAGCTCATGAGCTATTATTACATAATCAACCTTAAATTGTGTATCCAAATCACCCCATGAATGGTGGATACAGTGATTTACTGCGGATAGGCAATCCTTTCTACTCCAAATACTATAACTCATAAGGCTCTGACATGATGGGAGATGTAGTCTGTAATACCTGGTATGGCAGTAGTTTTGTTCCTCTGATCAATTGTAACATACACTTCACATTTTAAAATGGGGGCCCAGAGCCACTATATATTTTAAATAAACTAAAAAAAAAAATAACGTTTAACAGTCAGCCGCTTTCTCGTATTCTTGGATCTGTATGTTTTATACAGTTTATTTTTAGTGTGCCATTACCTTCTGCTTCCGTGGCAAATACAAACGCAGCTAACTAGCAAATTTTAATGTTCTGCTGAAATCTTGCAAAGATATCTTTTGATTTTTTTTTATTTCTTCCTCAAGTCAGAGCATGTCAGGGATGGGATCTAATTAATGTTTAATATATGCACCTTTTTCTGTAGAACAACTAACGAGTAAAACTGAATGTAATGATGTAATCTAACTTGTCAAAAAACAAGAAGAGATTCGATGCTCGTGACAGACGGTAGGACAGTGTCATGGGACCTGGGGTGCAATGTCATCCTCTAATTAACTAAGTGTTCCTTTAAACTGTCAAAGTAATCTAGGAGCCTCATCCCCATGTCCTATTAATATTAATTTTTCTTCAGCTGGAATATCAATCCCAGAGGTTCAAGACGAACAAGTGTCCCCCTACACGCCACTTCTGGCCCAGTAGCTTCATTACACATTGATCAGGACATGGCAAATGGACAATTTGGACTCCGATAAACCACAGTTCTGCTCAATACTCCCGGGGAGTGCATTGATTTTCACATTATTAAGGAAGATGTCCTGCTGAAAGGATAATTATTTACTTTCCTGTTGCAACAGATGCAGATTTCATCCATGTATAAAAATGCCTTAGTTGGAATAAAATCAGACATTTATAACAAAGCAAAACATAGCATTTGAATATTTCCAGCAAAGGAAGATTTTACAGTCAATGGCCACTATATTAAGAAAGCCAGCAAAGAGTTGACAAAGTCTCAATATACAAAGAAAGAAGACACGGTCTGAACATTTAAGAGTAGTTTGACTGAACATGGAATGGAGACGATGCATGATCTAAGCATGGGGTTGTGGTATAATTATTGTTGACACATGTGGTGGTTGGACCATCTCGGAAGACCTTTTGTGGGATTTTCATGAATGAGGAGGCGGTGAAAGGAGACTGGCAGCACCCACTAGTTTCGACCAAAAATGGGGCATTGAGTAAGAATGTCTAGCGAGTGACAGTATTTTGGGGCTATTCACATGAGGTCAGAGAATCAGAGGTCAGGAAATCGCTAGACTATTTCTAGATGAAATACCACAAATACACAATTTACAATCTAGCAAGCAATGGTAGAAGCCTCCACCTACCGATTTCTAAAAAAAGCAATGAATCAGAATTTGTTAATTGCTACAACCACAATTTACAGCAGAGGTGTGCAGAAGACCATCTCTGAGTGCACATCATGTCGAATCGTGGAGTGATCTTATTTCATTTATGTTTATTAGCCCATCCTCTCCAAGTGTGCATCATGTAACTTATTGGGGGTAACAGTGGGTGCCTAATTCACAAAACTAGACAAATGAAGAGTACACTGATCAATACTGCCTAAGGTTGATTGTACAGGTTTGTTGTTTTTTTTAATGGTGTTTCTATGTGTGTTGGGTGTTCATTTTTACAAATTAGATCCCTTAACAATATATAAGCAGAATTGATGCGGACTACATAAATCCCTTTATGGCCATAGTCCAAATGGCTACTTCCTGCAGGTTGAATGTATCATGTTACAAAGTGTGACATAATTGACTTAAATTAACTTCAATGACCTGCACTGTGGAAATCAAACAGCACCACTGGGATGGGGTGGGATGGAAGGCATGACATTGCCCAAAATAGCTACAGGATCTGCATATCGTTATGGAGACATAGAGGACCAAAATCCTGAATCCTAAGCCTGGTTTCAGCCATGATAAGAGCTATATGTCTGTACACAGATAGCAGGTTGATATATTGAAACAGAAATGGCCAGATGTAGAGGGCAGGCAGAACGATAAAAATTTTTTTATTTTTTTTTAAAAGACGAACAGGTGAAAGTAGATACAAAATGGATAGCTATAGATTGAAAGACACAAACTGACAGAACGACAGAGAAACACAGACAAACAGATTGACAGACTGAGGTGGAAAGAAAGATTAACATAGATACAAAAATGACTGGATATAGACTGATCGACACAGATATAGAAAGACGACACATGGTTGTATAGATAAAAATCTAGCTATGAATGAGTTTACTTTTTATTACCTTATTAAGCAGCTGTATGTCCTGAATCTTGAGCTGGGTGAAAAGAGCACAGCATATTTTATCTGTTATGCGTACGCTGTATGATAATATCTGCTTAATAGGACAATTTCCCTCTTTGATGAAAACTGTCAAGTTTCCTGGTACAATGTGAGAGCCCCTTTAAACTGCCAGACTACAAAATGTTGAATATGTTGACTCCAAATGTCTACAGGGAACATATGTTATGGATCAAAGGACACACTGATTAATCCAACAGAGACACGCGTCTGTCACTTCGGTCATGCCACAATACACCAGCCACAATTACTGAGCAAGTGTGTGAAAGGCAACAGAGAGAGCGTTCCAATGAAGCTAACATTTCTGTCTACTAAATGAAACACTTTATTGTTCTGTAATTGAATGTTGCATACATTGTTTGTTTCATATAATGTTAAATGGAATATTCAAGAGAATTTAGCTCTGGTAGAACCAGTGCTGGTGAATTTGGTACCGAGTGGTTGCTATATCCAAGATACTTTATCGTTTGGCATGATGACTGCAAAATGTATAGGTATGTATAAATTGTTTTGTGTAATATAGTTTAACCTATCATTAATCAAGTATTAAAGGAAAACACGAAGTGCCTTGACACCATTTAAGAATGACTTTATAACTTGGTACGGTCCTGCCAGGTGCCCATCATTGCCTAAAGTGGTTAAAGTGATCATTCAAAGTGAAGTTGGAATTTAAGGCCAAAGTAGCAGAACTGAAAGCATAGCTGACTTGGAGACTTATTCCAGTTCAGCTGTTTTGACCTTAAAGGGACACTATAGTCACCAGATTAACTACAGCTTATTGTATTTGTTCTTGTGAGTATAATCAGGGATTTTGCAGTAAACGCAGTCTTTTCAGAGAAATTGTATTGTTGACATTACAGCCAAGGGATACCTCCACTGGCCACTACTCCGATGGCGGCTAGATTTGCTTCCTGGGGGACTGACTTTCAAAGGACACTGCCATTCAGTGTCTCCACCCTCTGCATGGAGATACTGAACTTTCCTCAAAGAGATGCATTGATTCAATTCATCTCTATGAGGTGATGCTGATTGGCCAGGGCTGTGTTTGACTTGTGCTGGCTCTGCCCCTGATCTGTCTCCTTAACAAGCTCAGCCAATCCTATGGAAAAGCATTGTGATTGGCTCAGAACACCATTTCTGATAATGTCAGCCAAGCAGGCAGGTCAGAGGCAAAGCCTGTAGCAGCAGATTGTAATAAAGGTTTTGCTATATTTAGGGGTGCAAGGGGGTGCCAGGTGGACTAAATTGTGTTTTTAAGACTATAGGGTCAGGAATACATTTGTGTTCCTGACCCTATTGTATTCCTTTAAAAGTGAAATTCACATTGAATTCTCATGTTGGTCAAATACAATACTCAGGGTTATTCACCATTTGGCCTTTTACCAGGAAAGTGCAATATCAATATATGACTAGGCCAAATCCAAGTGACTGTTAAATATATCCCACTTATTTTATTATGTTTTCGTTTATAGTAAGTCTAATTTAAATGCATCTTGTCATTTTTCAAGATGTTTCACCATCATTTTCCCCCTAAAACGTGCATTTGTTTTTGTGTACCTTTTGTGAAAAAATAATAGGCCAGTCTACTGCCTACAATTTTTATAATTGACTGTCACTTATTCCTGTTGTGACATTTTCCTTTGTTTTGTTTTTTCAAACCAAGAAGACACTTGCCACGTATAATTTTGCTTCCACGTTTCAATCATTTTTCTCCCAGAATGACATTAGGAGAGATCTATAATTGTTTTTCCTTGATCAACAAAAAAGGGAAATTTGTTTTTGCTATACTAGCAATTTTAAATAACTGACAAATATTAGTTTGTTTCAATTTCATTTTACTACTGAAAATACCCATATTATTGAATAAGATGTAGCGACAAAATTGCAACCAAAGCATCTTTTTGCATAGCAGAATATAAAAAAAAAAAAAAAATTGCTCTTTTTTCCCCAATTCTTTATTTAGGGACAGGCATACAAGCTTTACCAACATGTTCATTCATAACGCGTTTAGAAAAGCCTGAACTATTAAACCTTATATTCAAAACACTTCTTCAACTATCATTCATCTGTACTGCTAGCATAAAATGTACATTTTATAAATTGGATATTAACACATCTAAAACAAGAATAACAAATTCAAAAAATCTAACTAAAAACATAAAATAAAATATAATTCCTGATAATGACGAGGATTGGTGGGTAATTTCTTCAGTTGTTCGGTCATGTGTTGTGTGTGTCACGTGTCATATTGTTCCCACGGGGCCCAGACTTTGTGAAATGTGGGTACAATTTTCCTGACCTACGCCGTCATCTTAAATAATGATCTTTTATGTAAGTGATAACTTGTTGTATAAACAGTGTCTCTGGTTTTAGCCAGTATGGTGCCAGAGCCCTACATGTCGCTACGTTTACCATATTAAGGAGCTTTTGTTCCTTTGTGGTCATTCCTTCTGTAGGTCAGGAAAGCAGGCATGCCCAGGGTATTATATCTATAGGACTGTTGAAGATTTTACTCTAGATTCCTAGAGTAACAACCTTTTTTTCAATACTCAGCTGCCCTGCGGGCCCACTATGAGCTCAAGTGGTCATATAACCCAGAAATCATCTTTGTCTGGGTAGACAGTTTCTTCAAGACAGTTTCTCATAAAAGGTTAGGAGTGTATTGGCAGCCTGTGCAAGTTCTTCTTGTTTGCCAAAATCTTGAATCTGGAGATATCTGAAGTATCCTCCACGGTTAAGTTCGCTAATCTTTGTATCTCCTGAAAGGTTTTGATTTCTTTCTCTATAAATAAATGGAGGTGTCTTTGTAGCCCTGTGTGCTCAATCCTCCTGAAGTCTCTAGCCATCATACCCAGAAAAAATGCTCTGTTGCTTAGTAGGGGTGTCATCGGAGATCCCATATTTGGGAGGAAGGAAGTATTGTCAGGACAGTCTGAAAGAGTGCCCTCTGGTGCCTGGTGAAACATGTAGAATTGTGGCAAATATAGTCCATGAAAAGGGATTCAATGTCTACCCGGCATCTTCGTTAAGGGGGTGAATACGAATGACTTATTTGTGTCAGCTGTGCTGCTATATAGTAGACGTATTGGTGTGGCAGACCAAAGCTTCCCACTGATTTTGAGTTACGTGGTACTCTTCTGCATTTGCGGTGCCATATAAATTCATCTATTACAGTCTGCAGTCCTGCAAAATCTCTTCTAGTGACCCTAACCTAAAGGGACTGAAATAAATATAAGATTTTGGGCAATATGTTCATCTTCACGGAATGGATACGCCCAATCCATGATAGTAGCTTATCTATCCATTGTTCTATATCTTTGGTCAGTGTACGTAATATAGGGATATCATTTGAATGAGAGAGTTGATTTGGATCAACTCTAAAATAAGTGAATGCTTCCTTTCTATGTGTAGCTGATATTTTGTATGTACGAGTGCAGTGTCCAAGGCCAAAAGGTTAAGAGGCATAACCACCGATCTACAGAGATTGACATTGTAACCTGAAAGCATTCAGTATCTGGCTTAAATGAATCCGGGATGTGAGAGGATAGGTCAGGGTAAGAAGGAAATCATCTGTATACGCAGATACTTTAAAAGGAGTTTCCAGCTATGTCTATACCTTTAATATTTGGGTGTTCTCTTATGGTGTGTAAAAGGGGTTCCAGGTGTATGGCAAATAACAGAGGGGACAAGGTGCTCCCCTGTCGTGTCCCATTACCTAATTTAAATGGGGTTTGGCACTGTAATGAGAGTCTGAGCACGTAAACTGGTACAAAGAGCTTTAATGGCCATAATGTATTGTTTTTGGAAGCCCAAGAATTGTAGGAGCCTAAAAAGGTAGGGCCATTTCACTCTAATGCCTTCCACTGTGCCAAAGGTAAGGACAAAAGAAGGCGTTACTGTATCCATCAATCACCAAACCAGATTTACTCTTATTTCTGTAAAGTTGCCTCCCAGGCATGAAACCAACGCAACTGATCAGAGTGTAATAAGTAGCCAAGCAGGCGTTCTGATAGCACTTTAGCAAATATTTTATAATCCGAATTGATTTATGGGATTGGTCTATAATTCGCTGCAATTTTATTTTCTCAGCCTGGCTTGGAAAGCTGAACTTTATTGGCAAGGGCCATGTGTTTCTAAATTAGGGATCAATTCATACCTTATAATAATATCGCCCCTTGAACCCATCTGGGCTTTGTTTCCTTTCATCATCAATATGGCAGCCCTTATTTCATTTTTTGTAATTTGTAAGTTTAGGGAGTTAGTGGAGACTATGGGACTTTTGGGTATGTCGATGTTTGAACAATAATTTTGTAATTCTGTAGTGTGCAACTCATGGCAAAGTTGTGGTGAGTGATATGGTTATAGAGTGCGGAATAGTGTTCGGTAAATATTTTGTTTATGACTTCTTGCGATGTTATGGCAGTTCTCTTGGGCGACCGAATTGTTGTAATTGGTGTGATTCTGCCTCTGGGTTGTAAGGCCATTGCGAGAGGCAGGGCCCTTTAACTACAGTTTTGTGTGCAGCCCATACAGTGGTCAACGTTATATTTGGTGTTAGAAAACACCCGAAAAATATAGAATATTTAAGAAAAATCTACCAGATTATCTTTTAGTAAAATTTCAACTCTCAGGTTTCTTAGAGGGACAGCCACGTCCATGGAGTGAGGAGTTCAATCATAGTGGGCAATGATTACAGGGCTCTGTAAGGGATGGGTATAGGGATTAACTTAATTTCTTAAACGCTTCAACTTCTGATAAAGTTAAACATATATTACTTGCCTACTCTAAAGGGTTAATATACTTTAAGACTGCTCAAACTTTCTATCCATGGCTAGCCTTGCCTAATTTATCAGACACCTGTCAGGCAGACACATCCTTCAGTCTAACTCTGACATTTGTAAGGTTGCAAATAGCAGTTAAACAGCACCTATCAACAAACTGGCATTTTGGGAGTTCAGTATAAAAATATAGGGCACTAACGGAGAAGGGAGCATTGAGATTAACTACTTCCCTTGGGTCATATGCAAGAGATTAAATTCCAGAATGCTAGGAAATATTACTGCACCTTTTCTCATGAAAGTCCCAGGTTAACACTCTC